AATACTTGAAATTTCAAGAAAATATTTGAAATGATGAGAAAATACCCAAATCAAAGAGCAAATAATTAAAGGAACGAGAAACTATACTGAAAGCCATTAAAAACGCAATTGGTATTTGTTGTCCTGAAACTTACAAAAGTTCTATTGAAGATTTTTTCCTGCGATACAGAGGATGTAGGGATAAAAGGCTGTTATTCTGGCCCATTTCGAGTTCGAGTCCCGGAGCATTCCTCTCACATGAACTTTGATACTTAAAACTGAACCTTTGACATTTCTCGTAAACACAACCACATTCATGAAACACGTTGTGCACATGCATTACCTGCACCCAGGCCCTGTAAAAGCACAAGGAATTGTGGAACTCAATCACTTTGAGAAAATGCCACACTTGACACAAGACGAAAGGAATCAGGTTATCGGTATGGTCGGCCAAGGTGCTTCAGATGTGATGATTGCCAGGCACTTTAATGTGCATCCATCCACTGTAAGTCGACTCAGACAACGTTTTCGGGCTTCCGGAAGTGTTGCTGATCGTCCGCGACCTGGTGCACCACCTGTGATAACAGCTCGACAAAACTGCAATATCCGAGTTTCACACTTGCGAAATCGGTTCCAAACAGCTGATGATTAGGCAAGGAGGACAATTGGGACAAGTCAACGTCATTTCAGCGCCCAAAAAGGTGCAAGGACGCCTTGCTGCCTTCAACATCCGGTGTCGTCACCCGTACCGTGGTCCAACCTTATTGCATCGCCACAGACTTGCCAGACAGCGATGGGCAGCAAATGGGGCCAATCTTGGCAACAGGACATGGCCAGATGTAATTTTTTCAGATGAATCCAGGTTTAACTTATCCTTTGCAGATGGACGTCAACAGATTTATCGACGTAAAGGAGAAAGACTTGCTCCAAACTGTGTCCTTGAATATGATCGTTTTGGAGGGGGGGTGGTGTCATGATCAGACCACAGACCATCAGAGGCTGCAGACCATCCAACAGCTGTTCCTGAGAAATGTGTGTCTTTCAATGCCCCAAAGACTGCGAGCATGTCTTGCAGCGCACGGTGGACACACACGATATTGACTGCAAGTGACCCCTCCTTTGTGTGATGTCGTTGTTGCGTCACTGATGTTGTTGTTGAATGGACATTTTCAGATGAAATTATTCACAGATGTTCACTTAAAACATATCTGCCAGTTAGGTTTATATATGTTGAAATTAGTGTGAGTAAAGAAAGTATGAATGTCAAATTGCATTTTTAATGGCTTTCAGTATACTTTGGTCTGTTTTAATTTTAATATTTGCATTTTGTTTTTATTTATTTGTCATAGCATTCAACAGAATCATTTTTTGCCCTGAAGTGTAATGAGACAGACAACATACACTAGGTCGCACTTTGGGCGTGTGTGTGAAATATGATTCACGTTGGCAATCTATAAGATGTCTAGATATTACAGTCATGTTATAAATTCACTAAGTATAAGCAGATCGTGTGCATTTTTTTAAGTTTCAAAATGCATTCACATATGCATAAACTAATTAGGATTATAAGACAAAATCTAAAGACGCACATTGACTTCGTTATTTCAGTCCTAACATTTTTTACCACTGTCATATGGTTAAACTTCAAAATGTTTTCATTTGCTATCAAAATAATGAAGATTATCGAGTACAAAATATTTCATCTTTTCTGATCAGTCTATACTTATACTATCAATTGCACATGAGGGTACCGCAGCAGAGGTAACAAAAGAGTCATGAATTCTGGGATATCATCGGGTACTCACGGGAGAAAAACAGTAACAAAAGCAACAACCAGTCCACGGAAATTGCTCTGGATCAGTGCCCCTTTAAGTCTTTTGTTCGTTAATTATCATTAGGCATTGCACAATATGCCTTCAGTTTATAGGGCTCCGGGTAGTCTATGTCATGGACCTGGATTCCTTATTTGATTTATTAATGGTTGTCATTTTTGACATTTCAGTGGCGTTCTTTGAGCGTCCTAGGCGTCCTCTCTGCCTTCCCTCAAATGCAAATAACGGCGTCCCTTCAGCGTTGCATCTCCCTTCTCGCCAACCGTTGTGCCTTCCTTGTGCATTCATTGGCGCTCGCTCTGCCTTCTCTCTGCGTTCTGTGGCGACAGTTCGGCAACCTGCATACTCTAGGTATATAAGTACCTGGCTACGAAATTTTATTATTAGTTTCATACGAGCAGGCTAAGTGAAATCATCGTATAACGACTTCAGTAAGCATGAACAATGAACTACGTTTGCACATAGCTTTTCTGCAAGGTCAGCAAGCATTATTTTTCAACCAGAGATCCATTGCCATCTGAAATAGAAGGATAAATAGTCGCTGAAGAAGAAGATTGAGGATCCAGTGGGTCCCCCCATGGTTGATGCAACACAGACGGTAACTACGTCTAGAAGATGAAGGGTCATTCTACAATTATCTGAGAATGGAGCCAGCCCTTTTTGACGAATTCCTCCAACGGGTTGGCCCAAGAACCGCCAAACAGAACACGAATTGGCGAGCAAATTTAGAGCCTGGTTTGCAGAGCTATCTGAGATGAATATAAGAATGAAGTTGTCAAATGCCCAAGGAACTCCCAATGTGGAAAGCCGTTGCAGATGACTTTCAGAGACGTTGGAACTTAGTGGTGTTAGAACGATGTCAGACAGTCAGATTCTCAATGAATCTGAACTGAAGACCTGCCTCGAAGATGGCACAATAAACTTTCCAACTCCTGATCCATTGCCGAATGATGACCGTGACATACCATTCTTCCTACTCGGAGATGATGCATTTGCCCTCAGAACCTACATGATGAAGCCATATTCAATCAGGGCACTCACTAAGTAGCAACGGATCTTCAACTATTGTATCTCTCGTAGAAGAAGAGTAGTTGAAAATGCGTTTGGCATTTTGGCTCAGCGATTTCAAGTTCTACTTTCAACGATGCAGTTGGTGCCTAATTCAGTCCGGGATGTGTTTGAAGCATGCATTTGTTTTCACAATACAATGCGAGACCGATATCCAACGCTACAGAATGCTGCACTTGACACTGAAGACGATAACCCTGACCGCATACCTGGATAATGGAGACAAGAAGCAAATATGCATGATGTTGCACAAGTAGTTGATCTAAACAGAGACACACGAGCAGGAAAACAGTTGAGAGAGTATCTGAAGTTGTACTTCAACAATGCAGCTATATCAGTTCCATGGCAGGACTGTATGATTTGAAGTGTTGTGTATGGAACTGAATTGCTATGCAGATGGTATCGTTTGATGATGTTCATCATTACTCTTCTTTAGTCTTATGAGCTCATTATGGATGTCTGGATTTCAAAATTAAGTATCAATGTGTGAATATTGTGTGTTTTCAAATACCGTGGAAATAAGCAGTACAAGACCTATTCATATGTAATCTGGAAAGGCAGAGAGGAGGCAGAGTAAAGGCAGAGCAAACGCCGTGGTTGTTCAAAGGGATGCGCTAGTCCCTGAATGAAGGCAGAGTGATGCTCAACGAACGCCAATGGATGCTCAACGGACGCACAATGAAGGCAGAGAGAAGGCAGGGGCAACGCCGCAGTTTAAGATGTTTTATGTGACGTCCATTTGCCGACCGTTGTGCCTTCACTCTGCGATGGCTCTGCCTTTCCTCTGCGGCCAGTGATCAATCAACCATGACGGCGACCACTCTGCGTTTGTTTTGAGCATGTTCAATAGTCGCCACTTCAGTGGCGTTCTGAGTCGTTTTTGGCATTGGGTCTGCCTTCTTTCTGCCTTCATGGCGATGGCTCTGCCTTCTCTCTGCATTCGTCGTGCCTCCTTTGAGCGTTCAGTGGCGTTCTGAAAAGTGTTAGAACGCAGAAGGAAAGCAGAGGTGTCGTTGTCCTGTGTAAAGGGGGTTTAATTGAGGTGTGGATTTCAGGGCTGCGATGGGGGTATATTACACTCAAAAGTGTTTTATGTCAATGTACAAAACATAATCTGTAAAATAATTGGCTACCTACGGCCCTGTCATGTGGATGTTACAAATGTCTTGCAGTCTCTTTCGACGTTTGAGGTTTCTGACCTATCTCTGCTCGGCCATCACCAGATACAACAAACGTGTTCAGTTCAAGAGGTGTCTTGCCACTTGTCTATCAATACAAACTGTGGTCAGTATTCTACATTTCAAAAGTCTCCGTTAATCATCATCATCATAATCATCAACATCATGTGGACGTAAGGATTTCTTGTCTAGTATGATGGACGACCACTCGTCAAGGTGAAGTTGAGGTTAGAGAAACGTGTTTGGAAAAAATAACGTTCCGCTGGCTCCTTCCACAAAAACGGAGGCAAACCACTGTAAACAGATTGCCCAGTGTAGTTGCCTAACATACTAATGCTACCCCAGGTTCTCACATGGATACCATTGTCCAAATAGTGAAGGGTTATTGTATGGTATTCGTGATTGTGATGTTCAGATTTGTGGAATATATACCCATACTCAAATATCAGTTCTTAATTAGTTGTTATACGAAGTAATAACAAGTAAATGGATTGTGCTTCCCAGGTAAATATTGTCTTGGGTACAACAGATATAATAATATAGCAGCCTGTGTATGTGCGGGTCTGAAGTACTTTTCAAGTCCAGTTCTTGCTACCGGATCAAGGTTCATCTCCAGATCTAGGTTCATCTCCAAATCTAGGTGCATCTTCAGTGCTAGGTGTATGTCTAGATGTAGGTACATCTCCAGTGCTAGGTGTATCTCCAGATGTCGGTACATCTCCAGTGCTAGGTCCACCAGAAATAGCTTCAAGCACAGATCTCATCTGTCACATCTAGACCTGGGTGTATCTCCATATGCAGTACATCACCAGACCTGGCTCCACCAGACATCGTTACATCCACATGCCTCATCTGTCACTAGACCTACTATCTGGCATAGTATAAAACAAAAACATCCCCTGGAATATCAAAGTACCCCAACAAAAAAGCACAAGCAAATATAGAGAGTGTTTTCGTGACATTTATTGACAACAGTCATGTACAAATATAAAGAATGTGAGTAAGAGCCAGGCAACAGTAAACACAGATATCCCTGGGAAGCCGCAGCAAGCAACAGCTGCTAGGACAAGAGGCAAATGCAAATCACAGCAGAACGCCACTCTGACAACATTACCCCAAGAGTAAACATTCTACATCAATCAGAAATCAGATGGTCTACGATAAGCTGTAATATCATGAACATAGCAGTGATTACAATACACTAAGCCTTGTCAGAGTTATCTCCCATTTGTTTGCTGTATGAAAGAATGGGACTGGTAAGTGTTGCTGTCTTCGTTTCTTTTGCCAGTTTTACCCTGAATATGAAAAGCTCTAATCTCACACTGGCCCTGTGCCTCTATTGCTGAAAATACAGCATCATCACGCTTCATAGGAATATCAGAACAATGAAGCTCAAAATGTCTGTGCTAAGCAGTCTCTGTGATGGAAGTGTAGATCAATATATTTCTATCATTGCTTGCTGCCATGGAAACAGATATCAGTTATTTACATAGAGGTTAACCACTTCACTGAATGGAACTTATCCCACAGAACTCTCTGAAAGGATCTCTCGAGTAAGCCGCTTAACTTGTCAATTACCTTGAGGTAACAATATAATTATTCCTGATTCTACATTTCTGCACCAACTGTCAATACTCTGCCATATTTTTCACCAATAATTAGGTCAGCACTATAACTGACTGACTGACTGAGTTTGGTTTTATGCCGCTTTTAGCAATATTCCAGCAACATCACGGCGGGGGACACCAGAGTCAGCACTATAAAAGAACACATCCTGCTTAAACAACCACCTGAAAATACTTGGTCATATTCCAAACTAACAGTCAGAGCCAAATTTTTTAAAATATACTTCACAGAACTGGTCTTTTAACATCATTGTCATTTATTTTTTGTTGCTAATGTATGGAATTATTGGGGGGTTATGCTGTGTTGTAACACATGTGATGCAAGCTTCAATGAATAATCAACTTTGCGTAACAAAGTATTCATGATATAATATATATTTTTCAATTCCAAACATTTGTGATTAAAATCTACTTTTGGAGACCAGTAAATGATGTTTATCCTTGTGACAGCTATTGTACTGATGATCATGGTTGGACAGGATCTGCTGACACCAATAACATTCTAACAACAAACACTGTAACATTCTACCAAATGGTTAATTGCGGTCTTTGATTGCTTGGATTTGATTCAAACTTTAACACAACATGATTTTATACAACTTTTTTTCAACATGAACTGAAAGTAAAGTCATTATGAGGGAATTCAAAGTGTACCCGTGATTATACAAATTGCCAGAAAAAAAGAGTGAACATTAAAGCTTGTTCATCAACAAACTGTTTCAGTTCATGGAACAAAATAAAGCTGTAGAATTGAAGATCGACAACCTTCGAGGTGCCCGTGAAGTTATGAAGTACCTGAATATATCACTTTACTATTACATAGTATGGTGCTATGCGAAAACCACAAGCTGGAAAGAAACCAGGAAAGGCAAAAGTGTACAAAAAACTGCACTGGTTAACTGACTGGAAAATAATATTGTCAACAAAAATAAACATAACAACTTCAAAATTTACAGCCGTCATGTTTAAAATTTAAAGATTTTTAAAATTCTTTTTTCGTCATCAAAAAACAAATCAGTAAGAAAAATGTTAATTAACGAACATCCAGCAAACATCTCATGACTGTGTGTTACTAAATAGTACTCTGGCTGAGACAAGGTGACTCTACTGTCCTTGATCTTTTCATTGAAATGTTGTTACTTTAATGTAGATCTATAAAACCTCATGGTGTGGACTACAAAAGAAACACCATAAATGCTTGACATGTTCCAAGCCCCATGACACATTTAACAATAACACAAACTGGCTTAGCCAGGCAAGTAAATGCTTGATTGTTTCAATGTTAAAAAGATCTATAGTCTAACAGGTGCTGAAGTTCGACAAGAAATAAAGGAAGCACCCAGTAAAGCACAAGTGAAAGCACTAATCAAAACACTATAGAAGCACTAATTGAACTAGCTTTACAATTATTCATGATTACATGAAATTGACAATGTTTTTTTGCGTTGTGCTGCATGTGTTTTGTCCTTCACACTGAAACTGGAAACTACCTTCGACTGAAATATTCAGATGCTACAACCTGCACGTTTATTTTTAAGCTGTAATATTCTCATCTACAGAGATCTGCTGTTAATAGGCATCCTTGAAAAACATATCTATAACATATTCTTAAAAATTGCAGGTTTCTTTCCTATTTGATCATAACTTCTAGAATGTGAACACAACAGTCAAGCAGTAAGAGTATCTAACCTTTGCCCAACATTTGTCAAACATCATTGTTATATTGACATACAATGTGAAAATATTGTTTTTATTTTGTCACTGCCAATGATCTGTCAAGAAAATTTAAAGCTTAAAACAGTGAACCATTACATTTCATGTTTAGAAAAATAACTCTTCGAAATATGAATCACAACCATCAGATCCATCTTCAGACCTATAAATCCTCTTACTGTCATACAATGTTTGTTTGAAATCCTACTGGAAATTACTGTTCATGCTTTAATACATTATTGATAATAATATTTTGCTGCAGGCACATTCTCCTATATGTGACATCTGACGGATTCCTGACAAAAAGCATGTCGTATCATTACCCCATCCTTGTTAACACTGCCCTGACTGAATTTGGGCGACCTTTCAACGTCTACAGTGGCCTGAATGTCACTGATATAAAGGATGTCATGACCTTACCAACTCCTTGCTTCACACTGCCAGGAATAGACAACTCTGCCTTTGACTACAAGAGCCTGAAAGATCTGATTTCACATTGTAAGTTACAGATGATTGTGGACTTATTGAGAAGGACGTAGGGTTTTAGATGTGGTTCTACCCAGTGCACAGCCTACAAAGCCAGAACCAGACTAGTGTTGGACGGAGACAGTGATATGACATTCAGTGGATTCAGAGTCTATGCCATGTATCAACTGCTGCAAAAGCTGGGGAACAAGTAGACTTGAAGCATTTTGCTCATGTGGGGCAGGTAAGAAATGACTGGTCATGCTCAAAGTCAATATGGAGGTTTCAACATAACAATTGACATGCTAGTTTCTAGGTCAAAGAAGGTCATCTTGAGTTATTCTGGACAAAGAAAGACCGTCTCAGGTTCCATGGTCAAAGACAGACCAGACCGAGTTGGGTTCCCACTGTCAAAGACAGACCAGACCGAGTTGGGTTCCCATGGTACAAGACAGACCAACTTAGGTTCCTCTGGTCAAAGACCAACCATCTCGGGTTCATGGTCAAAGACAAACCATCTTGGGTTCATGGTCAAAGACCAGACTATCTTGGGTTCATGGTCAAAGACCAGACCATTTTGGGTTCGATGGTCAAAGACCAGACCATCTTGGGTTCCATGGTCAAAGACCATATAATCTTGGGTTCCATGGTCAAAGACAGACCATCTTGGGTTCCTTTGGTCAAAATCAGACTACCTTGTGTCAGTATGAAATGTCATGATAAAACAGAACAGCGTCTGCAGAGTATTTGATAAAAGTAGAAACTAACACCCCAGCCTTCCATGACACCTGCTAATTCTGTGCTGTTCGGAACAAATGGAAGACAACATCAAATGAACCCAAATGCACAGTCGTCACCAAACATGTCATGCAAAGCTCCTGGAGATAGACTGGATCAGAAACTACATGTGGCATTACTTGAAAATATGTCATCTGAAACGTGACTACACTCAGTAGATCTGAAGTAATAGAAGGTGCACACAGAACAATTTATTACACCAAAAATATACTGAGGGAAACAAAAAGGGAACACCACTTCATGGCAGTATTCCTATATTTATTCTCAGATTCCCTGCCACAATGCTATTCAAAGCTGGTTATGAAAACTGAAAAATATTAAAGGAAAGCTTGAATTTACCTGTGTTCCTTCATTTGTTTCTCTCAGTATATAATCAACACATCCCCTACCAAGGCAAAAATTGAAAATTAGAGTTCGTGTTATTGTTCCCCTGTCCCGTTGCTACGAAAGTCTGACAATATACATTCAAAGTAATGCAGGATAAGGTTATATTAAATGTACAAGAAAACCTTCATACAAAAACACTTCCATTGTCATCAACACTGAACCGTACACAGTAAAAGCTAATATCGATAAAACACAATATGCTACAAACACTCCTTGTAAACCACACAAGAGCTGAATGGAAAAACGTCTAATGGAATGCTATAGTAATACATGTCACTACACTAGCTCTGCTGAGAGGCAAACATGGACCTTCCTTTCCCTGGAGGAGTGTTATACCACTGGTCCTATCCTTGGGTTCATTAACAATATTTTACAAGGGTTCTGTCCCGAAAATTCTTAAACAATATGATACCAGTTGACTTGTCAGGGATATTCATGAACAATGGTTACCAGTTGTTTGACCTAAATTATTCATGAATATTTGTTACCCTTTGGTTTTATGGAAGGAATTCATTAACAATAGTTACCAGTTGTCTGATGTAAATTATTCATGAATATTTGTTACCATTTGGTCTTATCGAAGGAATTCATTAACAATGGTTACCAGTTGTCTGATGTAAATTATTCATGAACAGTGGTGTACTAGTGGTCCTATTCTAGTTATTCATGAACAAAGATATGCCAGTGGTCTTTTTCTGTGAGTTCATGAACCAATATCGTGCTATCTCTATATTATATCAAGAGATATACAATATTTATTAACAATGTTGTAAAAATGGTCTTGTCCTGGATATTCATGAACGACTTACCAGCTTTATTTCATAGGACATTTCTGTGTATTCATGAACCTGTAGGATCTCTTACAGGGTATTCATGAATAATGCTGTAGTAATGGTCATGCTCTGAACACCGCTGTACTATCATTCTTGGGCTTCATACATAGTGTCATTCGATCCCTGCTACCCAGTAAAATGCTCTCATCAGAACTTGAAAAGATCAAAGCTTCCAAAATGGACATTTAAAAATATACCCTTTTTACAGCATTTTACAACACAATTAAACTCCAGCTATGAATCAGACAACTTGGCTGTCTAGCGCTAGTCCTATGGTGTATAACATCACTGATTGACAACCAATCATAATCATTAACTTCTGAAATCTACAACAAATCACTAACAATTAAAGCTTCAAAACCATGCCAAAAGCATGAAACATTTCTACATCTAAACACAAAGCTAACGTTGTCCCAGTGTCAGATTACGCCTTAACTACACACTGACTAAAAGTAAAAATGTCAACTTGTAAAAAGCCTAACATAGATGCTGTAAATAAAATAAAACATGTAAAACTGGTGAATAAAACATAAAAACTATTGGTGCTTAAAATTATTATTCATGATTACACAAAGTCATTTAGAAAATTGATTATTTGTTCTTAAACACTATTCAGATCACACAATGGGATTTTAAACCCCCAAATATTTCTAACGACAAATCAGCAAGAATTACCAAAGTAATGCCCTGAAACAAATCCAAAATCCAAATGCATCACTTAAATATGATTTTCAAAGTATGTGTATAAATGAGGAAGAAAATCTAAAAACAAGTAATCAAGTTTTGCAGCCCTGTCGGAACACAAAATATAAAATTGTACACACAAAAAATAAACATAGTTTGTATGACAAAAAATGGAGGAAATAAATCCTGGATTGATGACTGTTGTCTTGTTGAGTCAACACTGGTGTCAATAATATCGGGTGAGGTCAAGGTCATCACACTCGTCTCTCTGAACAGGATACCACCAAGATACAACTAGTTGCTTCTAAAAATGTTATAAAAATTCGAAACTTCACACAGCAATCATTGAGAACTAGTATTTGTTAAACATGTACCACAAGTTCTAAAGTCATTTTTCAAACAATATTATTCTGAATTAGTTTGTAATTAGCTCGTTTGTTAACTGAATAATCCCCATTTTCCTCCTGTTGTGTGACTAGTCCTCCTTCCGACAATTCATGTAAAACACCATCCAGCATTTCATTCCTTTTCTGAACACATTTGCTTCAACTTCAAATACTCTGATACATCAGTGTTCCTGAAAAATGTCATCACTTGGATGTTAACTGTAGTCAGTGTTCCTGAAAAATGTCATCGTTTGGATGTTAACTTTAGTCAGTGTTCCTGAAAAATCTCATCACTTCGATGTTCAACTACTTTCAAGTGCAAGAGTACCATTTTCTTGAAAGCCATTGAATTCAATTTGAATATTGAACACAGTCAATAAAAGCCTCTGAACAAAGACCTTCTCAGAGTTACAGAAAAATGTCATCAATTACTTGATCCAATCATATAAAAATCTAATGAAAACATTTTACCCGCCGCTATATTAGTCATTAATGACAAAAAATTACAAATACATATGTATATATGTAAATAATGAGGTTGGGCTATATTCAAAAGGCAGTGACTTTACTATTTACGTCTACTTAAATGTAATATTTACAAAAAAAGACTATTCCTAAAGAAGTCAGTGGTATATGAAGATTATTTACTCTCTGTTATTTCACAAAATGTGTGAACACACTCAGATCTGAAGTGTAAACAAAAATAGAAGCATATGAGAATCATGATTCCAATATCATACAAAACAAAAAGTGTAAATGGCACTGAATTACGGTAAGTCCACTAAATGCAAAACACCCCCCCATTGAAATATGTACAGGCAAGTCTGCTAGCAAGACACGTCCACAAGGAATCATGTCCGTAAGATGTGAACCATATTTCAGTAAAATGTTGCTATGACAACTCGTCCACTTGTATGGATAATGTAAAAAAGGAATGATTTCCAAAACCGTCACAACTACTTGTTTTCCAAAAACTTGAAAACCCATGAGCTTGAAAACATCAAATATGAGACATGTCATGAGTATTCAGCATTATGCAAATGAGCAAAAAACATGTAAAACGGCGATAACTGAGAGAAAAACACCAAACCCTTTTGATGTACTGTAAGCAAAATAACACAGAAGAGACTTAACAAAACGTAAAACGGAAATCTGGTTGCGGAGATAGAGAACATGTCGCTAACACTTCGACCAAACCACTAGAAATGTAGATGTCTTGTTTTAGCTCTCTATTGACAGGACTTGGTCCCCTATTCTGAAAGCAGTGATACGGTATACACAAAAGATGCCTTGGAAAGGCAAGTCAACAACTTGGTTATTTCCGAAAACATTAAAAAAACATGAACAGTTTCATTCACGAACTTGAAGCCCAACCTGACAGCAAAGCGGTTATCTCCCTTAGCTCCAACTACACTTTCGGGTCCTTGTCTTCTCCCTGTGGCTCGAACTGCTGACTCTGCCGGCGCCGCCTCCGCAGTAGTTGCTGGGGGGCTCTCTGTCTGGGGGGAACTGGCGGGCGGGGCCTCTTCTTTTACCTCCTCCTGCACAGGTAAACATGTGTTGCTTATTTTTCTGCTACAAAACTTTCTCATGTGAGACTAGAATGTGACTGCTACTTGATTCCAATGGACTGTTGATCCTAATACCTACCACTTAGGGACTGTTCATAATTTATGGGTGATTTTTTATCGAGAAGAATGTACAATATGAATGACCCCTGCTAAAATTTCTGTACGAAGTAAGTGACCCCAAAATCAATGACCCTCCCTTCCATAATTTGGAAGCAAAATTTTTAAATTTTATTATGTACAAATTGATAACCCCCTAGTACATGTGTACAAAATTGATGACAACCCCCCCCCACCCCCAGTACATGTGTACAAAATTGATAATCCCTCTACCTCCCCTGAAGAAAATAACGGGTGACCCCCTTTAAAATCATCATCACCCCAAAAGCTATAAATTATGAATGGTCCCTTACTATTGACAGAGTATCCCCCCCACAATTCTTCATTTACCATGTGACCCCCCCATGACTTACTACTGACTGTGTAACCCCTAGCGCCCAGAGCTGGACATGAACACCATATAAGCGGCTTATTACTAAGACTCCCCACAGACTCTGTGACCCCCACATGACTCACCGCAGACTCTGTGACCCCCACATGACTTACCGCAGACTCTGTGACTGGCTTCTCTTCTTTATCTTCAGGCTCCAGCTCCTTCATCTTGTCTTCCTCTCCAGACTTGTTTGTCTCGTTCACCACATCCACACTGAAACAAACACCTCACATTAACACCTTTACAATCAGTTACATCCACACTGAAACAAACACCTCACATTAACACCTTTACAATCAGTTACATCCACACTGAAACAAACACCTCACATTAACACCTTTACAATCAGTTACATCCACACTGAAACAAACACCTCACATTAACACCTTTACAATCAGTTACATCCACACTGAAACAAACACCTCACATTAACACCTTTACAATCAGTTACATCCACACTGAAACAGACACCTCACATTAACACCTTTACAATCAGTTACATCCACACTGAAACAAACACCTCACATTAACACCTTTACAATCAGTTACATCCACACTGAAACAAACACCTCACATTAACACCTTTACAATCAGTTACATCCACACTGAAACAAACACCTCACATTAACACCTTTACAATCAGTTACATCCACACTGAAACAAACACCTCACATTAACACCTTTACAATCAGTTACATCCACACTGAAACAAACACCTCACATTAACACCTTTACAATCAGTTACATCCACACTGAAACAAACACCTCACATTAACACCTTTACAATCAGTTACATCCACACTGAAACAAACACCTCACATTAACACCTTTTACAATCAGTTACATCCACACTGAAACAAACACCTCACATTAACACCTTTTACAATCAGTTACATCCACACTGAAAACAAACACCTCACATTAACACCTTTACAATCAGTTACATCCACACTGAAACAAACACCTCACATTAACACCTTTACAATCAGTTACATCCACACTGAAACAAACACCTCACATTAACACCTTTACAATCAGTTACATCCACACTGAAACAAACACCTCACATTAACACCTTTACAATCAGTTACATCCACACTGAAACAGACACCTCACATTAACACCTTTACAATCAGTTACATCCACACTGAAACAGACACCTCACATTAACACCTTTACAATCAGTTACATCCACACTGAAACAAACACCTCACATTAACACCTTTACAATCAGTTACATCCACACTGAAACAAACACCTCACATTAACACCTTTACAATCAGTTACATCCACACTGGAAACAAACACCTCACATTAACACCTTTACAATCAGTTACATCCACACTGAAACAGACACCTCACATTAACACCTTTACAATCAGTTACATCCACACTGAAACAAACACCTCACATTAACACCTTTACAATCAGTTACATCCACACTGAAACAAACACCTCACATTAACACCTTTACAATCAGTTACATCCACACTGAAACAAACACCTCACATTAACACCTTTACAATCAGTTACATCCACACTGAAACAAACACCTCACATTAACACCTTTACAATCAGTTACATCCACACTGAAACAAACACCTCACATTAACACCTTTACAATCAGTTACATCCACACTGAAACAAACACCTCACATTACCACCTTTACAATCAGTTACATCCACACTGAAACAAACACCTCACATTACCACCTTTACAATCAGTTACATCCACACTGAAACAAACACCTCACATTAACACCTTTACAATCAGTTACATCCACACTGAAACAAACACCTCACATTAACACCTTTACAATCAGTTACATCCACACTGAAACAAACACCTCACATTAACACCTTTACAATCAGTTACATCCACACTGAAACAGACACCTCACATTAACACCTTTACAATCAGTTACATCCACACTGAAACAGACACCTCACATTAACACCTTTACAATCAGTTACATCCACACTGAAACAGACACCTCACATTAACACCTTTACAATCAGTTACATCCACACTGACAACAGAAACAGACACCTCACATTAACACCTTTACAATCAGTTACATCCACACTGAAACAAACACCTCACATTAACACCTTTACAATCAGTTACATCCACACTGAAACAGACACCTCACATTAACACCTTTACAATCAGTTACATCCACACTGAAACAGACACCTCACATTAACACCTTTTAACCTTTTACAATCAGTTACATCCACACTGAAACAAACACCTCACATTAACACCTTTACAATCAGTTACATCCACACTGAAACAGACACCTCACATTAACACCTTTACAATCAGTTACATCCACACTGAAACAGACACCTCACATTAACACCTTTACAATCAGTTACATCCACACTGAAACAGACACCTCACATTAACACCTTTACAATCAGTTACATCCACACTGAAACAGACACCTCACATTAACACCTTTACAATCAGTTACATCCACACACTGAAACAGACACCTCACATTAACACCTTTACAATCAGTTACATCCACACTGAAACAAACACCTCACATTAACACCTTTACAATCAGTTACATCCACACTGAAACAAACACCTCACATTAACACCTTTACAATCAGTTACATCCACACTGAAACAGACACCTCACATTAACACCTTTACAATCAGTTACATCCACACTGAAACAGACACCTGACATTAACACCTTTACAATCAGTTACATCCACACTGAAACAGACACCTCACATTAACACCTTTACAATCAGTTACATCCACACTGAAACAAACACCTCACATTAACACCTTTACAATCAGTTACATCCACACTGAAACAAACACCTCCTCACATTAACACCTTTACAATCAGTTACATCCACACTGAAACAAACACCTGACATTAACACCTTTACAATCAGTTACATCCACACTGAAACAGACACCTCACATTAACACCTTTACAATCAGTTACATCCACACTGAAACAAACACCTCACATTAACACCTTTACAATCAGTTACATCCACACTGAAACAGACACCTCACATTAACACCTTTACAATCAGTTACATCCACACTGAAACAAACACCTCACATTAACACCTTTACAATCAGTTACATCCACACTGAAACAAACACCTCACATTAACACCTTTACAATCAGTTACATCCACACTGAAACAGACACCTCACATTAACACCTTTACAATCAGTTACATCCAATGCCTTACACTATAAAAACACTGGATTGTTGGGTTATTGACAAACTGACGCCGTATAGCTGGAATATTGCTGAATGCCGCCTATGTACAATATCCACACATCTACATCATCCATATCCTCAACATCATCCACATCCTCAACATCATCCACATATCATCCATATCCTCAACATCATCCACATCCTCAACATCATCCACATCCTCAACTTCCTTCGCCAAACCCAAACTGAAACATCAATATCCTGACAATCACTGATTGACTTTAGACTTTATCTTTGGACAACTGATTATACTTGAACATATCGGTTGTCCTCTCTAGGTGAGGTGAGGTGAAACTGGGTTTAACGTCATGCTTGAGAATATTTCGCTCATATGACGACGTGCATGTGTGTGTATGTGTATGTGCGGTTGCTTGTACTAGCCCAGACTTAAGCTGGTTTTATAGTGCTAGCCCACTGAGATACCATGCCGCAGTGAAGCATGAATACCCCACTCAGACACAGTATACTGACTCCGAGCCGACCAGTCCTTGTTGTACCCATTAATGCCGAGCGGCAGGCAGGGACCAAGAAGTACCATATTTTAACGTCTTTTGGTATGACGCGGTCGGGGATCGAAGCCGCGACCTTCCGCTCTCCGGGCGGACTCTCTAACCACTACACCACGGAGGCGGTCCTGTCCTCTCTAGAACCCAGACAGAAGGCTTTACCCAGCTGTGCTTTCCTACAGTATTGGGGGATGACAGGGTAGTCTAGTGGTTAAAGCATTCTCCTGTCATACTGAAAACCTGGTTTGATTCCCCACATGGGTACAATGTGTGAAGCCCATTTCTGGTGTCCCCTGCCGTGATATTGCTGGAATATTGCTAAAAGCAGCATAAAACCAAACTCTCTCCTACCGTTATGGCTGTGTGTGTCAGTATGTTAATGATGTATACAGCAATCTTCAAGCTGTATGATTTCAGAGTGTAAATGAGTTGGGACAATCCAGTGAATCAGGTGCATCTGTCCACATCACTGGTGGGGACAACACACTATCAACCAATTCCGTGAGTCTGTTACCTAATTCCATTTGGTTGCCTCTCACAACAAGAGTGAATTGCTGGGAACCAATTCTACCCAAGAATCTCCTCAGGTGCAACCATGTGTATCTGCAGCCATATATTTGTATCTGTTGTAAGGGAGCCCTGTGGAAGACTTACTTTTCTTTAGCTGATGGCTCCTCGCTGTCCTGTTTCCCATCCTTGATGAAAGCCTCTTTCTCATGATCGCTGTAATGGAGAGGAAAACGTTAGTCTGGTGGAAAGAGTTGAGCCCTTGACCTATCTGTTCTACAGCATCTGCTGTCACACATTGATCTGTGTTGTATTGTGTCTGTGTTGTACTGTGTGTGTGTGTTGTACTGTGTGTGTGTTGTACTGTGTGTGTGTTGGACCTGATTTGCATTGTACTGAGTGCATGTTATACTGGGTCTGTCATACTGGATCAGTCATATAACTGGTCTGTCATATACCGGGTCTGTCATATAATTGGTCTGTCATATACTGGGTCTGTCATATACCGGGTCTGTCATATACTGGGTCTTTCATATACTGGGTCTGGGTCTGTCATATACTGGGTCTGTCATATACATGGTCTGGGTCTGTCATATACTGGGTCTATCATATACTGGTCTGTCTGGGTCTGTCATATACTGGGTCTGCCAGTCTGTCATATACTGGGTCTGGGTCTGTCATATACTGGGTCTGTCATATACTGGGTCTGTCATATACTGGGTCTGTCATATACTGGTCTGTCATATACTGGGTCTGTCATATACTGGGTCTGGGTCTGGGTCTGTCATATACTGGGTCTGTCATATACTGGGTCTGGGTCTGTCATATACCGGGTCTGTCATATACTGGGTCTGGGTCTGTCATATACCGGGTCTGTCATATACTGGGTCTGGGTCTGTCATATACCGGGTCTGTCATATACTGGGTCTGGGTCTGTCATATACCGGATCTGTCATATAATGGGTCTGGGTCTGTCATATACTGGGTCTGGGTCTGTCATATACTGGGGCTGTCATATATTTGGTCTGTCATATACTGGGTCTGTCTTATATTTGGTCTGTCATATACTTGGTCTGTCTGCTATTGGATCTGCATTACATGGTTACAAGAAGTTAATGACCAATCTGGTTCCTGCTGTCAGACATGATGTAAGTTCCTGGTACATATGCCAGCCAATAGTATTTGTACCAATGCCAGCGAACAGCATCTGAAGACTGAACCCAGTTTTCTGATAACTGCCCTGGGTTGACACTTACGCAGCCTCCGCATCGGCCCGTTCACCTCCAGCCTCTCCTCCAGTAACCTTCCCCTTGATTGTCCATAGCAGGCCACACTGCTTGGTGAAGTAGAAGGTGACATCGATGACGAGGAACAAGAGGATGATGATGGCGATCAGGATGCCAATGATGGCAGCAGTGGCCATTCCTTCTGTTTCTGAAGAAAATCAGGAAATTGGGGCATGTTAAGAGTCTTATGTTAGTCAGTAATGGCAGGCTTGCGGCCCTGCAACAAGCTAAGAACAACATGAGCGGAGTACAAAGAATGATTTGTATCTGTATGTCATTAACATTACAAATACTGTCTGACAAACAGTAAAAGTCTAATAGAGCACTATGATATGAACGAATATCAGACTTACCTTAGATGGGTACATAGACATAGATTTTGAATAGAGATATAGGATTTTTCGCTCTATATTTCACAATAATACAATATGATTATACTATGTCTTGATTTCTCCCAAATATTTAGTTTTACTATTTTACTGTAAGATTTTTTCCCTGTTTTGTTTCTCGTTTGACACAGCACTCAGCAATATTCCAGCTATATAGCAGCGATCTGTAACTAATAAAATATGGACCAGACAATCCAGTGATCAACAACATGAGCATCGATCTACAAAATTGGGATACTATCATGGAATAATAATTCATACAAAATTCAATATTACCACTACAAGCAATATATTAGGGTTCAGCAATTATTCAACAGTGTAGACCGAGCTTTTGTCTTACTGAAAGGTGTGACTAACAGTTGATTTCTTAATACCTTAGGCTGGGACTTATCTGGAGACATCTGTGAAACTGTGCAGTCATAACTTATACCTTATTCAATAGGATGTCTGTAAGATGAGTTTTATTACTTTCGACTGGAGTCTTTATCTAGGCTATTACTGATCATGATGAAACCAATATTCTATATTTATATTTTCCTAATATCTGAATCCTAATATATTGCTTGTAGTGGTAATAATGAATAATGAATTTTGTATGAATTATTATTCCAAGTGTCAACCAAGTCACAAATCTGACCATCTGACCCCATTAGTCGCCTCTTACGACAAGTATGGGTTGCTGAAGACCAATTCTAGCCCGGATCTTCACGGGTTTTACTATCAGAAGTCACAGGAGCAGAACACAGTGTCTATGTGACAAGACATACTGATGCTACTGATGTCTTCACTAAAACAAAGAACAGAAGGTACATACATGCAAGTTAGTGACACAAGTAAGACAATAAGCATTATCCCAGAGTGCACATACTGGCAAGATACCAACAGACATGTTGTGAACAATGCAGTTTTAGATGTAAGCTAACTAGTGCAGGTGGCTGAATGTGTGATATGAGAGCTATAGCACAGGTGAGTGTGTATATATGAGTGTGAGAGAGCTATAGCACAGGTGAGTGTGATATGAGAGCTATAGCACAGGTGAGTGTGATATGAGAGCTATAGCACAGGTGAGTGTGTGATATGAGAGCTATAGCACAGGTGAGTGTGATGCAGAGCTGAGAGCTATAGCACAGCTATAGCACAGGTGAGTGTGATATGAGAGCTATAGCACAGGTGAGTGTGATATGAGAGCTATAGCACAGGTGAGTGTGATATGAGAGCTATAGCACAGGTGAGTGTGATATGAGAGCTATAGCACAGGTGAGTGTGATATGAGAGCTATAGCACAGGTGAGTGTGTGATATGAGAGCTATAGCACAGGTGAGTGTGATATGAGAGCTATAGCACAGGTGAGTGTGATATGAGAGCTATAGCACAGGTGAGTGTGTGATATGAGAGCTATAGCACAGGTGAGTGTGATGATATGAGAGCTATAGCACAGGTGAGTGTGATGATATGAGAGCTATAGCACAGGTGAGTGTGATATGAGAGCTATAGCACAGGTGAGTGTGATATGAGAGCTATAGCACAGGTGAGTGTGATATGAGAGCTATAGCACAGGTGAGTGTGATATAGCACAGGTGAGAGCTATAGCACAGGTGAGTGTGATATGAGAGCTATAGCACAGGTGAGTGTGTGATATGAGAGCTATAGCACAGGTGAGTGTGTGATGTGAGAGCTATAGCACAGGTGAGTGTGATATGAGAGCTATAGCACAGGTGAGTGAGATAGCACAGAGAGCTATAGCACAGGTGAGAGTGATGTGATATGAGAGCTATAGCACAGGTGAGTGTGATATGAGAGCTATAGCACAGGTGAGTGTGATATGAGATAGCTATAGCACAGGTGAGTGTGATATGAGAGCTATAGCATAGCACAGGTGAGGTGAGTGTGATATATGAGAGCTATAGCACAGAGAGCTATAGCACAGGTGAGTGTGATATGAGAGCTATAGCACAGGTGAGTGTGATATGAGAGCATAGCACAGGTGAGTGTGATATGAGAGCTATAGCACAGGTGAGAGCACAGGTGATATGAGAGCTATAGCACAGGTGAGTGTGATATGAGAGCTATAGCACAGGTGAGTGTGATATGAGAGCTATAGCACAGGTGAGTGTGATATGAGGCTATAGCACAGGTGGAGTATAGCACAGGTGAGTGTGATATGAGAGCTATAGCACAGGTGAGTGTGATATGAGAGCTATAGCACAGGTGAGTGTGATATGAGAGCTATAGCACAGGTGAGTGTGATATGAGAGCTATAGCACAGGTGAGTGTGATAGCACAGGTGAGGAGCTATAGCACAGGTGAGTGTGATATGAGAGCTATAGCACAGGTGGTGTGTTATATGAGAGCTATAGCACAGGTGAGTGTGATATGAGAGCTATAGCACAGGTGAGTGTGATATGAGAGCTATAGCACAGGTGAGTGTGATATGAGAGCTATAGCACAGGTGAGTGTGTGATATGAGAGCTATAGCACAGGTGAGTGTGATATGAGAGCTATAGCACAGGTGAGTGTGATATGAGAGCTATAGCACAGGTGAGTGGCACAGGTGTGATATGGGAGCTATAGCAGAGCTATAGCACAGGTGAGTGTGTGATATGAGAGCTATAGCACAGGTGAGTGTGTGATATGAGAGCTATAACATAGGTGAGTGTGTGATATGAGAGCTATAGCACAGGTGAGTGTGTGATATGAGAGCTATAGCACAGGTGAGTGTGATATGAGAGCTATAGCACAGCATGAGTGCTATAGCATGGTGAGTGATATATAGAGGTGAGCTATATGAGTGTGTATATAGAGAGCTATAGCACAGGTGAGTGTGATGATATGAGAGCTATAGCACAGGTGATATGAGAGCTATAGCATAGGTGAGTGTGTGATATGAAAGCTATAGCACAGGTGTGTGATATGAAAGCTATAGCATAGGTGAGTGTGTGATATGAGAGCTATAGCATAGGTGAGTGTGTGATATGAGAGCTATAGCACAGGTGTGTGATATGAGAGTTATTACACAAGTGGCAGTGTGACACAAAAGTTATAGCACACGCTTGTGATATGAAAGTTTCCGCACAAGTGAGTGTGTGAACTATATAGCACAAGTGAAATGAGAACTATCGCAGAACTGAGCACAAATGAGAGGTGAAGTGAAAAAGTGTGCACAACAATTGAGTGACATATGAGAGCACATCAAGCAGGTGAAAGCACATAATGTGTGGAAGAAAGTGTTTGTGGCATAACGGTTAAAGCACATCCGGACTAGAGGCAGATTCCAAGTCAGTATCTTCTGACACACTTAGCTCCTATAAATTACTATCTGCTATATGTTAAGGGAGAGAGAGTTACCACATGATTCTATCTATAATTTCAGTAGCACACATAATTAACAAGATCTTGAATCCACTGTACGTCCCACACACCAAGTGGGGGAGACACTAGTTGGAGGATCAAATAAGGCCTGTCCAAGGATAGTAGAGACATTTCACAGCTAAATATGAGTTCACATGACTGCATGAACATCAATCAAAACACATCCAGAGTATGAGTTAAAAGACTGAAGTTTTCACTGGGCTCATCAGCTTCATCTTCTTGGAGGAAGGCCAAACTCAATAGGTGAGTGAGTGAGTGAGTATGGTTTTATGTCGCTTCTAGCAATATTCCATCAATATCACGGTGGGGGGAAACCAGAAATGGGCTTCACACATTGTACCCATGTGGGGAATCAAACCCGGGTCTTAAGCATGAGGAGTGAACGCTTTAACCATTAGGCTACCCCACCACCCAAACTCAATATGAGAGCAGCAGGCTCGGGTTTAGAGTCGACTTAATGACCCTTCTCCTGTATGGACATATCATCACTCTTTGAAAAGCTAATTGTATGTAGGGTATGATGTGGCCTGATGTGGTCTCATTTTGGAGAAATCTAGGTCACGTAAAGCATGTCAAGCTGAGGGTCAGGACTGGAGTGAATGACAGATTCATCAACAAGAGGAGCAGATTCACCCATTGACAAGGGAAGAATCCTTGTACAGGAATGCCTTCAGTTGGAGCATGACTATCAACAGATGTGTCCATAAGTTCTATTTGAGGGCGTATAAAGTTCTATTTGAGGGCGTCACACTAACCTTCAAAACTTCTGTCTCAGATAATTGCAGGGTAAGCACTTGTAGGATTACACAGTGCATCTATGAGGAACTGGTAAATTGTTGAGCATGTCATAAAATTATTTGGAAGACTACGAAGTCAATAAAATATTCTGGCACGGTCAAAAGACACAACTCTGCACTGCTAATTCCGGTTTCAAGGATATATAGTTTATCTGACAATAAAGACCATTAACCTGCACAAGAATAATGTTCAGGCAACTTCCTGACAGACGACATGTGTTTTGCCCTATCAAACCATCAATTGCTGGGGCTTGGTCTGAAGACAATACGTGTTGTTCCAGGGGAGATAATTTGTAGTTTCTACAGTGGGTTCTTTTCACCTTCTGCAGATCTGGCAGAATTCAAATCGGACAAATATACTCCTCCGATGTAAATAACGACCCTCCAAAGCCGAAGTAATAATAAAAATTTTATTCAACTCATTACTAAATGGAAAATAAACAAACATGAAAATGTTAAATTACAAGTGAATTATGACAGAGAAAACTACATCGAAACATACAAACATTCAACAAACATTGATCAGAGAGAACTAGCTAGTTCATCAGCCTCGCATTACAATACACTAAAATACATACTGAGTCAACTGAATGAGTGACCTTACAAGCTCTGCGTCTGTCAAGGCATATTTCTAGTAATCTTAGTAATTACAGAAGGTCAAAGTATGAACTGTGGACTAGAACACATGCTGATAAGGCGAAAGTGCGGACTCGAACATCTAGGTTGTGAAACTGTTTGGCGTAGACAATATGTAGATAGATATATATGCACAAAATTGACAAGGGACACTTGAGTAGTGTTGAGTTCGACGCACGATAGCTTGATGGAGTTTATATTGCCACAATGTCAAGCCACATCTAATACTTTGCAGTTTGGACAACACAATTTGAAGATACCATGTGAAACTTGGGACAACATCTACAGTGGTGGGGTAATGAATCACAACAATTCCTCGGATGCTCAAATGATTTAAGTATTTCCAAGATCCATAGTTTTTATATTCTAAGCATGAAGATTAGTTTTGATTTGGATATGAGCGATGTGTCCGGGATGATGATGCTGACTAAGGATGATGCTACCGATGGCGATGGCGATGTGATGAACCTAATGATGTCAGACATTGTGTATTTGCAAAATTCTCAATCTTGACTTCAAATTTAAGTCAAACTAAACCTAAAACAAAACAGCAAGCAGCAATTGATACGAAAACAATAGCACTTTATCTACATTGTAGATAACGTCCACTTGTCAAAGAGAAGCTTTCCTAGAAGATATTTCTCGACTATTTAGATAGTGTCCTGGGCCTTGGTGTGTGCAGGTGTCGTGGACCAGTATCTGCTGTGAGCCATGTTTAAGGTTGAGTGCAGAGTACAGGCACACAGACACGTTTGAGGAGCAAATCTTAAACTTGACCCACACAATCAGAAAGTCGTCATCTGAGTACAATGTGTTCTTAACAAGACAAAATACAGAACCATTTTTTGATTATTGTTTTCCCAAGATAACAGGTTCTCGACAGGTTTTACGATCTGTAGCCCACTGACAAAGGACGAACAAAAGGAACCCAATATGTGATTGCACGTCTTGCATAGTGGTGGAGAGAGAAGAAGGGTGAAGGACACATGAGACAGAAGCTATGACGGGAAGGGGAGATAATCACCTATTAGGAAATGTACACTTGGAGCTACAAGTCAAACTGTACAGGAACACACTGTGTGTAGAATCAGACAGAAACAACGTAACACACTGTATGTAGAATCCACAATGAGGCTCCCTTGAGCAACCACACAGACATGTTCTGGAGCCCTGAGTATTAGAAGGGAAACAAGCAGCAGACTCCAGACTGGGACACAAAATATTATAAACTGGTTACCATGGTAACACGATGACTTGTCTCAGCAGTGACTCATGTAGCAATAACAACAGTAACGGGAAATTGAGGATGTTGATTGGTGCATTCCAGAGTTACTTCTCAGATTCTAACAGATCACTCTAATTTTGACAGGGCATCCATCCTTTGGGCTAAGTTGTCTATCAAACACTTTCCCCACTGGTTCAACTGTAGATCAAACACTTTCCCAACTGGTTCAACTGTAGATCAAACACTTTCCCCACTGGTTCAACTGTTTATCAAACACTTTCCCCAATGGTTCAACTTCTCAAACACTTTCCCCACTGTTCAACTGCAGCTCAAACACTATATTCTTCTGAGCCTATGACTGCATGGTCCCTAGTTTGACTCTGACAAGCCCCACAGCAGCAGACATGCACCAACAGGAGGAAACTGGACATAGATCACAAAACAAACAGAAACCAGGATTTCAGAAACAACAAAATTATCCTACAAGTCAGAAGAGAAATGAGGTTTGATTGTTTCCCTGTGGGCCGCAACCGAGCATGTTGAGGCAAGAGATACAATGAAGGTGAATTGTCCAATGTATAATGTCAAACTGGCATAATGCGATTGCTACAACTAGTGTTCTCTATCGCTTGATATTAATACTGAATAATATCCCACATGTACAAATATGTACCACAAAAGAAATTCTTTCAGCACTATCGTAAAACCAAATTGGAACCAGGTATAATTTCAAATGTTATTTAGCATTTCATCGTGACATGATTACATGAAAGAATGCAGATTTTTCAAAAACATCCAAAGCGAGGATACTTTGACAAAATGAAGAAGTCTTGAAGAATTCAAATGTTCAAAGATCCACTTTATGATAAAAGTAACTGAAGACAAAGACTGTATACAGATGTACACTTATTTATCAAATCAATTAAAGGAACAATGTTCACATTCTGATCAAACTGAATAAATATGTTCATTATGTTCTCAGAACCAACTAAAGACAAATGTTCAAGTTCAGATCCAACCAACCGAAGAAAAATGCTCCCTTTCTTGTCGAACCAAGTAAATACCATTGTTGACTTTCCGATCAAGCCAATGAAAACCAAACGTCACCAACTGATCGAACCAACTAAATATAAATCTTTACTTTCTGATCAAACCAAATGAAGACAAATGATCTTTTTCTGATCCATGTAAATGCCAATTTACACTTCCTGATCCAACCAACGAAAGCCAAATGTCGCCTAGAGACCGAACCAATTGAATAAATGTACACTTTCTGATCCAACCAACGTAAGCCAAGTCACCTAGAGATCGAACCAACAAAATACAAACGGTTTACGGCTGGTCCCTCCCCACGAACAGGTTTAGAAGATGCTAGCAGTGGAGTGATTATGTCTGGTTTCTACAGGTAACACACTACTTATAAATACATCATGAAAATATCCCCTGTCTGGCATATGGACTAAGCATATGGAATGTTATGCCCAGCTATGACACGAGCTAAATGTCTAAAGAACTAATTTGCCAGCTGTTCAGGCTGTTCACAATACTGCATACAGCTTTTCATGTACAGAATAAGTGACAGTAGGTAAGTGCAGAATGACGTACCAATAAGTTCCACTACACTACTCATAGAAAACAATACATTTATAAAATAAATATAAACACATTGAAATTAAAAATCAATCAAACCTAAATGTTAATGAAAAATATTCTTTTCTCACATTCAAATTAAAATGTATTTGAAATGTTGCTAGGAAACAGGGAAGCTGGTTAATAATATCCACATTGGAGAAAATCTACTACGAAGTACAAATATCTTGTCAGAATTACCATAAATATGCAAATCCGTCTTATAAGTAGTTTGAATAATTTTGTCATTATACATTAATTGAAATTCTTCTTAACACTGAAACCTCCCACCAACGACAACCCTCGGTGCCATGAAGCAGGATGTCAGAAACACTCAAGAATGCAGCAGTTTTATACTGAAAACAGGGTACACTTTGCAGGTTTCCTATGAACAATTTCAAACAGATTATCTGAATAGTGTTGAGTGGCACACAGTCACATCATAATCGCTTGCCCTAATACCATCAGCTTCTATGAAGCCAAACTTTGTCATTCAGAATACGTCTTCAAACGAAGAGTTATCTTCAGCAAAATATTTCAGATTAAAATATTTTGTAATATTGTCTTGGCCCTGATTGAGAATACCACAACCTTGAAGTTTCATAAAATCATTTTAATTTTACTGTATAAGGAATATATAAAGAACATAATTAAGTATTAAACAATGGTGACCTTCCAATCAGAGTCAACGTATAAAAAAGAAAAAGTCATTAATTTTTTTTCAAATACAAGCCAAAACAGTGCTGTCTAATTTGGTGAGCATGTGAAGACCGTTGGATTGGTTCCAAGATTCTCAATTTCACTATTTCCCCTTCTGTTTTACAGATCTTTACACAACACGTAGACAATTTAACCTCCCCCCCAAAATATTGTTCACACCAATGAAATGGTCTCACCAAAATATACACACTGTCATGGTTTAACCATGATTCACACTTGTAAATATTCAACATTCAAACAAAACAGCATTGTTGCGTAATTAAATTATGAAAAGAATATTTATCAGCAAATATTCAACACTGAACGGTGACATCTCCGAGGTGTGATCAAAACTGGTTACAAGTGTTACTCGATCAAGCACCAAGTACTCAACATTGAAACATCCAAGAGCTTTTGATATCTGCGTTTAATATCCTTAACATCTTATATGGCACAGAACGAGTACCCATTACCTTAGTCATTCGCCATCAACATTCAGAGGCCAACATTGAAAAAATACTTGCTACACACACCGATCCGACTGCAGCAAGCGTAACATACGTACCACTAAACTTGACTAGGCTTTTGAGGGTGGCGCACAAAATCATAACAGATTGACTTACTTCATTCGTTACAATACCAGATGCTAGATCGATATGTACCTGTGTTAGCAGCAAGATGAAGGATGGTCAACAGCGGGTCTAATGTCATCGACTTCAATTGGATTGAACTGGATGACATGTGAGTATTTAAACGGATGCAGCCGCTGTTTGATCGAAGCCTTCATTTTCTGCTAACACACATACGTTACAAAGCAGCAGTCAGAGCTGAACTGTCAAGCATTGAGTAAACTGCACACATTGTAAATTTGTGTATGTTGATGTCTTTTCATACTGCAAGTTGTGCCGTAATTGGAATGATTGATAGATTGGGACCAGGTGCACCGGGTTCCAGTGTCTCCGGTTCAAAGATAATCTTGATGTGCACCTCGCGTTCACTCTTTCATTCGTAGTTGCCCTGCCTATGACGGACTGGGGAGGCGGCCGCGACGTCGCCATTATCAGCATACGGCCAGACTACGTGCCAGAAGGGCAGCAGACACAACCACCAGGGACGACAGGCTCACGTGCATTGAGATTGCGTTGCCGGTCACGGGAACTGAAAGAGCCAAATAAAAAACAGGTGAGATGCAGCTCGAATAGTGCGGTCCCACCAAAGGGGTGGGTGGATGGGTGGGGAGGGTAGGGGAGAGAGAATGTGCACTGCATCCCACCTAGGGAAAGCAGCAGGTGTAGGCATGGCGCCGATGTCCCATACAGGCAGACATGATGCATCTGGGATAACACGGCACTGTGACCCCATGAAGGTTTAGGGGCAAGGAGGGGGGCAGTGAAGGTGTGGGAGAGACAGGTAGTGTAGTCCCTTCAAGATGGAGGGGTTGGGGAGAGTGATCACTACCAACGACAGGGAAGTGGGCGTGGCAAGTTAATCCCACCCATGTGCAGGGAAGTAGGGATGGTATGGAGGAGGGTGGGTCAGGCAGGCATAGCATTGTGGTCCCATCCAGGAGGCCAGGGGGAGGGTGGCACGATCTTCTTATGAGTAAAATGGTTGGAAGTGGACATAGTAGGGATACATTGGCTCCAACGGCCGGTATGTGACCTAGGCGCCGTATCAAAAGGTAGGGAAGGTGCAGTGTCAGCAAGAAGACTTGGAAGGGTGTAAGCTTGAAAATGGTGTATGTATGGAAAAAGAAAAATCAAGTAATAAGTAAAAGTCTTGCAGTTAGTGTGAATGGAATTTTTTATATTTTGGGGGAATTGTCTGAGGAACATATTTAGATATTTTGACTTAAATCATCTTATAAAAATAAATTATCATGTAAATTACCCATTGTATTCTAATTTGTCAGTTGTATACTTGAACTAACCTGGGTCACTTTTAACATCTGTGTATGGTTACCATGGCAACCATCACTTTGCACAGCACCTTTCTCTAAATTCTTTTTCTGGCACTTCAAATCACAAGGACATCTGTTTTTATTTCAAAAAGCAGTTTGAACATGGCATTAAGCACGCTTACACTAACACTAAATTCATAAACTGAAAAAGAAAGTTAAAGATTAAGAATAGTTCTGAGGGGGGTTATTTTGAAATTGTTGCTCACAAAAACAAAAAAAAAAAAAAAAAAAAAAAAAAAAAAAAAACTGTAGAAATATACGATTTCTAATTTTGTTTTGCTCTTTATATAACATCCTGCACAAACAACAGTCTCAGTATTTGGAGATATATTAGGCCGACATTTTGAGAATTAAACTGATATTTTTGATCCCCTTAAACTGTTCATATTATTTAAATTCATGGGATTTTTAATACAGTCTCTCTTTTTATTAGGTGCATTGCAACTCCTTCCAGCAATAACAGTTACGTCTATAATAAGAACTTTTAATTGCAACTAGGGAAAATTCTACCCCTGCTTAAGAATGTGGCGAAATATCAGCCTTTGAACATGACTATATAAATCCTTGGCATAATGAGATAGTGTATATCATTGAACGTCAATTACACACAGACTGACTTAACAACTTCGTTATTCAACCTGAGGCTGACTTCCCAGTACCAGTGTCTGCCCTTACAGTTCATTTCTTCTCTTATGACTATTTGACTATCTGCGTACTCCCCAGCTTCATGATATTATCACTGTCATAACCTTGTTTATCTGATGTGGTTGAAAGTAATACATTAGTGCATAATGGTTTTCATTTCCCACATTTAAAGGTTGTCATTGAGCTGCACTAAAAGACTTCCATGCACCAATTCTCATGTGACATAAATATCACTGGTAAATTCTATTTCACTTTTTCTTAAACGAGGCTAACTGCACGGACTTGTCATATTCAAACTTACGTCCATGTTTTATTATTTTTTAGCAGAGGAAAATAAATAACTTGGTTCCCTTGAGTCTTTGTTTATATCAGTCTGCATGAATTACACACAGAAATAACTAACAAATACAAATAGTGAGTGAGTGAGTGAGTTTAGTTTTACGCCATTTTCAGCAATATTCCAGCAATATCACGGCAGAGGACAACACAAATGGGCTTCACACATTGTGCCCATGATGGGAATCGAACTCAGGTCTTCAGCGTGATGAGCAACGCTTCAACCACTAGGCTACCCCACACTAAAAATAGCTTTATCAACATAGTAATCCTTAGGATTTATCATTACAAAGTATAGTATAAAATATTTTCAGACGGACTGTTCTATATTGTTTATACATACTACTCAATTTAGGGATATTAGGATTGTTGAGATTGTTGCGAGTGATAGCTAAAACGATAGCATTTGATAATGCCATGAACTCCATTGCAGCCCCCCATCAACTAAATGAGCTCACAATTAAATTTTATTGCAGTACATAATATCTCAGTATCCCGATGAAACATCAGGGTATTACCTTGCCCTACAAAACTACAGGTCCCTCAATTACTAACTTCAAGGCTTACAGGAAGAATGGTGATTCTGTAATGTAATTAGGAAGCATGTTGCACTGAATGTAAAAGGTAATAATTATATTTATAGCACAAACTTAATATTTTGTTGTGGAGAAATTGTCGAGGAAAATACAGTATATCGGGATTATCCTTTCGCACGGGATATATATGTTTTTTTTCTGTATACAGTCTCTACATAAGCATACCAGACACACCTTTCAGCATTGCGTAAATCACTGTTTAACGATGGTGTTCAAGATGTGTACGGATCAGATTGTTCACTGAGTGCAGAAAGAGAGAAAGTGCCTGATAGAGGTTTGTGTGCTCCTAACCCACTTAGCAGACAGATTGAGGGCATGGTGGTGGTGGTGATGATGCAGGAGGAGGGGGAAGGAGTTGGCGGGTGCAACGTTGTCGCTGCTGTGGGATTCCTGGCACAGGGAGAGACACACAGACATGATGTGGTTAGATTGATGGGTAGTTGGTAGGGAAGCACAAAATTCATTATTGTGTTTCTAGAGGTTAAAAAAAAGAAAATTAAAACAAAATTGAATTTTGGCTTCTTTTTTCCCCCGAAAAAGTGGAATTTGAGAAATGACAACAACATGATACCTCAAAATGTGATTAGGCAAAGAGGTGATGTTAGCTAATGATGATGATGATGATGATAATGATGATGATGGTTGACAACATTCCAAGCAAGGGCATGCACTTGCAAAAATAAGTAAAAATAAAAAAGGAAAAAAAATCGTCACTCAACTAAATATAAAACCATGTTCATGCAATGATAAATGGCACCACCATGCATCTTCCTGGACTTGGTGACAAAACTGTGCATCTATCAACATCCATACATCTACATCTGGCAGCTGCTGCCTCTGTCCTGAAGGTGGCACCAAGACGTCATCGACTGGCAGGCTCAATAGTCGGGCTACTGACTCATTTCCCGTAACCTCAGAACCGGCTAGGCAATACTTCCCCCAAAACAGAGCATTCCCCCTACCAAATTATGTTCTGCATGTCAACTGCTACCATCATGCAAGTTCACCCTCATGGTCACACATAGCAAGGATCAACTTCTGTTATATTGTTTCTTTCATGGGTGTTTTTGGGGAGTAAAGTCTGCAAATCTGGCTTTGCTATAATTAACTTACCTAAAATGTGTTTTGAATAAGTGTGCAAGCTGGCTACAACTGGGTATGTGTATGTAGCCTGGTATTGTGTATCTATCTAGGCGTCTGGTATTGTGTATCTAGCCTGGTGTCTGGTATTGTGTATCTAGCCTGGTGTCTGGTATTGTGTATCTACCCTGGTGTCTGGTATTGTGTATCTAGCCTAATGTCTGGTATTGTGTATCTAGCCTGGTCTGGTATTGTGTATCTAGCCTGGTGTCTGTATCTAGTATTGTGTATGTAGCCTGGTGTCTGGTATTGTGTATCTAGCCTGGTGTCTGGTATTGTGTATCTAGCCTAGTGTCTGGTATTGTGTATCTAGCCTGGTGTCTGGTATTGTGTATCTAGCCTGGTGTCTGGTATTGTGTATCTAGCCTGGTGTCTGGTATTGTGTATCTAGCCTGGTGTCTGGTATTGTGTATCTAGCCTGGTGTCTATCTGTATGTGTGTATTGTCTAGCCTTGTGTCTAGCCTGGTGTCTGTGTATTGTGTACCCTGGTGTCTGGTATTGTGTATCTAGCCTGGTGTCTGGTATTGTGTATCTAGCCTGGTGTCTGGTGTCTGGTATGTCTGGTATTGTGTATCTAGCCTCAGTGTCTGTATTGTGGTATTGTGTATCTAGCCTGGTGTCTGGTATCTAGTGTATCTAGTGTCTGGTGTCTGTGTGTATCTAGCCTGGTGTCTGGTATTGTGTATCTAGCCTGGTGTCTGGTATTGTGTATCTAGCCTGGTGTCTGGTATTGTGTATCTAGCCTGGTGTCTGGTATTGTGTATCTAGCCTGGTGTCTGGTATTGTGTATTTAGCCTGTGTCTCTGGTATTGTGTATCTAGCCTGGTGTCTGGTATTGTGTATCTAGCCTGGTGTCTGGTATTGTGTATCTAGCCTAGTGTCTGGTATTGTGTATCTAGCCAGGTGTCTGGTATTGTGTATCTAGCCTGGTGTCTGGTATTGTGTATCTAGTCTGGTATTGTGTATCTAGCCTGGTGTCTGGTATTGTGTATCTAGCCTGGTGTCTGGTATTGTGTATCTAGCCTGGTGTCTGGTATTGTGTATCTAGCCTGGTGTCTGGTATTGTGTATCTAGCCTGGTGTCTGGTATTGTGTATCTAGCCTGGTCTGGTATTGTGTATCTAGCCTGGTGTCTGGTATTGTGTATCTAGTCTGGTGTCTGGTATTGTGTATCTAGCCTGGTGTCTGGTATTGTGTATCTAGCCTGGTGTCTGGTATTGTGTATCTAGCCTGGTGTCTGGTATTGTGTATCTAGCCTAGTGTCTGGTATTGTGTATCTAGCCTGGTGTCTGGTATTGTGTATCTAGTCTGGTGTCTGGTATTGTGTATCTAGTCTGGTATTGTATCTAGTCTGGTATTGTGTACCTAGCCTGGTGTCTGGTATTGTGTATCTAGTCTGGTATTGTGTACCTAGCCTGGTGTCTGGTATTGTGTATCTAGTCTGGTGTCTGGTATTGTGTATCTAGCCTGGTGTCTGGTATTGTGTATCTAGCCTGGTGTCTGGTATTGTGTATCTAGTCTGGTATTGTGTATCTAGCCTGGTGTCTGGTATTGTGTATCTAGTCTGGTATTGTGTATATAGTCAAGGATTTAGCCTGGTGTCTGGAGTCCTGCCGATCTGCCACATCAACAACATGTACACTCGTTAATCCACATATCAGCATGCATATTGAGACAAAGACAAATCTGTGAGAACTAAATCCAGAACATTCCAAGAGAAAAGCTCTCACAGCTCATAGTGGCAATACGATTCATCCTTGTCAACCAAATCACACAAAGGAGAGTTTCATTTTAAAAAACATCTTAGAAATTCAAACAAGGTCATAAATGTCCATCTCAAGGTCATTAAAATGCATTCCCAGAAGTAGAAAGTCCTACTAGATGTTGGAGACAGAGTAATGAGATTTACACCACCTCGAACACTATTCCAGTAGCTGGGCAGCAGCTGACATTAACTGTACACAGACCTCATGGTAAGGACAGAAAGCTTCAGTCACAAGACATAAGAAATTAACTTAAAGTCAACAAGTTACAAAGAGTATTTCAGTCATACCATGGCAGTTCAGTGTTGTGAAGGCCGAAATGATTTATTCCTGTCACAAGACACAAGGGCTGTAGGTTGCCGTCTCATCCCGAACCAACACCAAACAACCTTCTGACCAATCTAACCTCCTGCTCAATACATTCCAGTTCAATTATTCAAAAGCAATATGGTCACTTGATGCAATACACAAACCAAGCTCTGTTCCTTGCAGATTTTCAAGTCAGAATCTGATGTCAGCATATTTATGTAGCAGATACGTAAAAAACAGAAAAAATCTCACATTTAGACAGACAGTTCTACTGCTTATGCACCAATGATGACAGCAGAGAAGCACAAGGACAGATGAAATCTATCAACTACAGATGTCCTCTTTCGAGGAAAGGGCAAACAAGATCGTCAAAACCTCCTTCAGACAAGTAGTGAGTGACTTTAGTGTAGTTTTACATCGCACTCAGCAATATTCCAGCTATATGGCTGCGGTCTGTAAATAATCGAATCTGGACCAGACAATCCAGTGATTGGGATACAATGACATGTGTCAATCAACTCAGCAAGCCTGACCACCTGATCCTGTAAGTTGGCTCTTAAGACTAGGATGGTTTAGTGAAAATCAATTCTAGCCCGGATCTTCACGGGTCCCTTCAGACAATTAAGAGCTGATGACGATGTGACCGTTTTCAGCACAATTGTTACTGAGGCTCTATTCAACAGCTGACCCTGTTGGTCAGGAACTAGCAACGCTGAGTTATGTTGTTCCAATGACTGAACCAGTTTTGAACCAGTTCCTCCAGTTGCCAGGCAACGGTGGTACAACTCTTGCACCAGTGCTTCAGGTTGCTAAGCAACCATGGAATAGTTCTTCTAAATATCGTTTCCGTTTGCCAGACAATGGTGGTACACTTCTGCAACAGTTCCTCACTTTGCCAGGAATCATTGGTACAAAAGTGCTTCAGCTTGCCAGGTAACTGTGGTACAACTCTTGCTGCTTAGGACTTTTAATCACTGACCCATAAACATTTATTGTTCTGTTTTGTCTTTTTATGAGTGAGTGAGCGAGTTTAGTTTTACGCCCCTTTTAACAATATTCCAGCTATATCACAGCGGATGACACCAGAAAAGGGCTTCACATATTGTACCCATGTGGGGAATCGAACCCGGGTCTTCGGCGTGACGAACGAATGCTTTAACCACTACGCTACCCCACCGCCCCTGTCTTTTTATGACTACACACAGAAATAGTGAAGCTGTATGAAGTCAGCCTGTCAACGTTCCAGCTTGGGACAAGCAAACCATCGGTACAATGACAGTGCAATGACTATGCCAACTACAAGCATAGGTGGCTGAAGGCCAGTTCTAACCCTGGATACCCATAGGGTCCACTCCTGGCCCCTTATCTTCCCTCGCTATGGGTTAACATAAACCTAGTCACATCATGGAGACCAAACTTCAATTGTGCAGGCAAAATAAAGATCACTGGAGCCATGGATAAGGAAATGAGAAATAATTTTCTCCCTGGATGGGCCAGGAACTCATGCAATGTTCCTATACCCGGACAAAATGCACTGGGCCCTTCTTCTCGAAACGTTCGTAGCCCTAAGAATTCTTAACTTTGATCATAGCCAATGTGTTAAGAATGGGCTTAAGAAGTTCGTAGGGCTTAAGAAGTTTCGAGAAAAGCTAGCCAGGTGTCCACTGGTGTCCAATGGGACAGAAGGGTTGAATTAAGGGAGTCATTTGAAGGTGACAGTAATTACATGTGAAAGATCCCTAGCTCAGAGCACTGCTACTGCCTAGCACCTTACTTGTGGGGCCACTCACCATAACAAGGCTTTGGTTGAGATAGGAAGTTGTCTTTTGGTAAAACCCTGATATTGGAACAGACATCTGCTCAGCTGTTGCTGTACCAACAAGGATACATTTGCACTGCTTAAGGATTGGGTGTGACAAGACCTTGTGTCTGGATTAAAACTTAGACACTTGAATAGAACTCAGAATAGATTCTACTTGAATTTCACCAGCTAACAGATTCCCACAGAGTTACACACAACAGGGACTGGGTGAGGGAAGAGCTGGTTGAAACAGAACTGGAAACTTTACTTTTACCATGAAATCTTACACTGGATTAGAACTTGGCACTTGGCTCTGGGTTGAAATCTTACATTGGAACAGAACTTGGGACTAGGCCCTGGGTTGATGTCTTACATTGGAACAGAACTTGGGACTTGGGACTTGGCTCTGGGTTGAAATCTTACATTGGAGCAGAACATGGGACTAGGCCCTGGGTTGATATCTTACATTGGAGCAGAACTTGGGACTTGGCTCTGGGTTGAAATCTTACATTGGAGCAGAACTTGGGACTTGGCTCTGGGTTGAAATCTTACATTGGAGCAGAACATGGGACTAGGCCCTGGGTTGATGTCTTACATTGGAACAGAACTTACATTGGAGCAGAACATGGGACTTGGGACTTGGGACTTGGCTCTGGGTTGAAATCTTACATTGGAGCAGAACTTGGGACTTGGCTCTGGGTTGAAATCTTACATTGGAGCAGAACATGGGACTAGGCCCTGGGTTGATATCTTACATTGGAACAGAACTTGGGACTTGGCTCTGGGTTGGGATCTTACATTGGAACAGAACTTGGGACTGGGCTCAGGGTTGATGTCTTACATTGGAGCAGAACATGGGACTTGGCCCTGGGTTGATATCTTACATTGGAGCAGAACTTGGGACTTGGCTCTGGGTTGAAATCTTACATTGGAGCAGAACATGGGACTTGGCTCTGGGTTGAAATCTTACATTGGAACAGAACTTGGGACAAGGCTTTGGGTTGGGATCTTACATTGGAACAGAACTTGGGACTTGGCTCTGGGTTGAAATCTTACATTGGAACAGAACTTGGGACTTGGCCCTGGGTTGAAATCTTACATTGAGCAGAACATGGGACTAGGCCCTGGGTTGATATCTTACATTGGAGCAGAACTTGGGACTTGGCTCTGGGTTGAAATCTTACATTGGAACAGAACTTGGGACTTGGCTCTGGGTTGAAATCTTACATTGGAGCAGAACATGGGACTAGGCCCTGGGTTGATATCTTACATTGGAACAGAACTTGGGACTTGGCTCTGGGTTGAAATCTTACATTGGAGCAGAACATGGGACTAGGCCCTGGGTTGATGTCTTACATTGGAGCAGAACTTGGGACTTGGGCTCTGGGTTGATATTTACATTGGAGCAGAACTTGGGACTTGGCTCTGGGTTGAAATCTTACATTGGAGCAGAACATGGGACTTGGCTCTGGGTTGAAATCTTACATTGGAGCAGAACTTGGGACTTGGCTCTGGGTTGAAATCTTACATTGGAGCAGAACATGGGACTTGGCTCTGGGTTGAAATCTTACATTGGAGCAGAACTTGGGACTAGGCTCTGGGTTGAAATCTTACATTGGAACAGAACTTGGGACTTGGCTCTGGGTTGAAATCTTACATTGGAACAGAACTTGGGACTTGGCTCTGGGTTGAAGTCCTACATTGGAACAGAACCTGGGACTTGGCTCTGGGTTGAAATCTTACATTGGAACAGAACTTGGGACTAGGCTCTGGGTTGGGATCTTACATTGGAGCAGAACTTGGGACTTGGCTCTGGGTTGAAGTCTTACATTGGAACAGAACCTGGGACTTGGCTCTGGGTTGAAGTCTTACATTGGAACAGAATTTGGGTCTTGGCTCTGGGTTGAAATCTGTCATTAGTATACTACATGGGTCTTGGCTTTGGAATCAAACCTGATACTGGAACAAAACTCAGACTTGTCCCTGGGATCAAACCGGATATTGAAATAGAACGACATACAAAAATAATTTGAGATTCACATCGGCAGTTTTCTGCAGGCACGGCAGGGCATCAAGGCTGACCATTCCTGCCGAGACAGGCAAGCAAGACAAGCACCAAGCTGAGAACGGATGCAGAGTACTTTAAATCTACCTGAATCTTCTGACGAGGATGCAGTGACGGCCAGGCTACTCGAGGACGTGGCTAGCAAGTACACAACACACTTAAAGCAACTGGGTAAAACCCTGCTGATTCAAGCCTGACTGTGGGTCTAATAGCAACGTATTGTATACAGCATGGAAAACACTTGTCATCACTTGATTGGTATATCAGTTAATGAATGGGAGGGTTAGATTTGAAGCCAATTTGAACAATTTTCCAGTTACATCATGGCATGTCAGCTCATTGTGGGCAGAGTGAGTGAGTGGGTTTTACGCCGCTTTTAGCAATATTCCAGCAACATCACGGCGCGGGGACACCAGAAATGGGCTTCACACATTGTACCCATGTGGGAATCGAGCCCGGGACTTCGACGTGAACACTTTAACCACAAGGCTACCCCACCGCCCCTGATGTGGGTGGAAGCAGTCAGTGATGGCTGCATGAGATGTCTGCCGATACGGTGAAACCCACGACCACTGGCATGGTGCTGACAAACCCAGACACATAATCGGGGTGAAACAGGATTCAAACCCAGAATCATAGGTTTCTTAGACGTCTCCAAGGGACACAACTCTGCAAGGCAAACTGTGCCACCTTACGAAACTGGGCCATTTGGGCCCGTAATTAATTATGCTTACTGAAATACAAGAGACGACATGATTATTTTTATCAAGGTTGATGATCGTCGTTAGAATGCACATAGAACCTTCCTATGATAGATGCCTAGATACTTACTGAAAGTCATGATTTCATAATAATGAGTCAGAAAATACATACAGGTGAAAATGGTTGAAAAAAAAGTTTTAAGAATGAGCTGTAGCAGAATTAAATAGGAGTTCAATAAGAAGACTTTTATGAGCTTAACTAGGAACAATGAATCCAGAGAGAATTTACAATGAAGCGTCATTGATCTCAACACAGAAACAGATAATTGGCACTACAAGAAGCTGAAAGAGGATACAGTTAATAATGATTGTATATCTAGACAGAGATGGTAGACAGTTTAACTTGGCTGGAAGTTCCGGCTCATCAATATTTAACACAGAGTTGATCAAGCAATGTACAGGGGATGGCTGGGGTGTCCCGCTGTTGACGGTGTGCGAGTCATGCAGGCAGTATACCACATAGATCTGTGTTAAACAAGGAAATAAAACCCACGGAATGTGTGTGCAACACGGGAACCAGAGCTGGGGCCCGATCCACAAACCGTTCGTAGAGCTACGTGTTCGTAAGCCTACGATAAACTAGAGTTACGACAGGTCGTAACGTTACGAATGCTTTGTGGATCTGGACCATGATTATTTCGACAACACATAGCCAGTGAATCCAAGACTGACAGCCTCTTACTAAAACAAATCACTATGATTCTACAATACCAGATAATGATGATATAAGGCATGTGTTGACAGTAGTGACACAACGTAAGCACAACGTCTATGGAATTCTACAAAGCAGCTGTGTCTTGTACTCCAAATATCTTCAGTTCCATTGTTTACAAGTTACGTACGACGCTGCATGAAGCAATGTTACAGCCAGGTCACAGCAGGGGTACAGACAACCATTGGGATTCAAACCCAGACCTTCAGCATGACAAATGAGCGCAGGACCCATGGGACCACCCATCACCCATGTAACGCAGATACTTTCCCAAACAAATCTAAAAGCACATTCAGCATTCCTGCAAAATAATATGAACAGTGATGGCCGGAGATTATTGAGAGAACAAAGTGATACACATATTGATCATTCACATAGAACAGAAACTAATTCAACTGGTGGAAATAGGTAGAGCGTACACCACCCTGGGGTCTTCCTGCGGTAGTATGTAGGTTTCCGGCTGCATCTAAGCAACATTTAACATTCATCTAATGAAAGCACATTTGGGTACAACAGATCTAGACCGAGTGCTTCGTCTTGGTATCTTACACATCAATAGCCCTTGTAAAGCAACACAGATTTCTCCATGGTGCATCAACAGCCATGGGAGCAGTTCTTCAACACTCAACTTTTCACGTGCCTCAATAGAAATCACTTTAAGAAAACGTAACACTGAATTTGAAATGTCCTTGAGTCAAATTTCCCAATTAATCGTTATACATGTTTTAACATTTCTTTTCTGATGAAAATTTGTTCAGACATTGAGGAAAATTTGTTTAGACTTTTTCTTCAAACTTCGTAATAGGCGATACATGTAATGTGAGAGCACTGAGGCAGTGAAAGTTCTGAGGGTTTCATAGCGACATGCTGAATGGACGATGCATTGAATAAAGTACCTCCTCCTGTCTGGGGCCCAGTGTCGGCCACGACACCACCTCCTGAGATTCCATCGTCAGTGACTACAAGCATAAGTCAGCATTCAGTCAAGGGAGATAATCAGTCACTCTGGCTTCAACAGTGAACCAGGTCAGAGAACATACTTCAGGAACACGCTCACGTGATCATCGCAGCGACAGTGCCGATTTCCGACACTCTTGTAATGAAGGATTTAGGACATCTATGACTTTGGAGTGCCTTACAGTGTACAGATTTGGGTATTGCTATGACAGTACAGATTTGGATATTGGAAAAATACAGCTTGATGACATCACAATGGCTTTAGAAATCCTCATATCAAACATATTTAGGGCATTGCTATGACAATACAGATTTGAGATATTGCAGGATTGCAAAATTATGGCATCACCAGGTTATATTATACAGGTTTGGGGCATCACTAGGACAATGCAGGTTTTGGGGCCTTTTAAACAATACAGGTTTGGGGCACTGAAACGATAGACGTACAACTCGTAATGACTGAAAATCCAAATATACTTAGCGGCACCACTAGATAAATGCAGGTTGAAGGCAATAATGTTTTGTGATATGACAACTTTTGTGGCATACTTCAACCAAACTTCCTGGCACAGAATCCCGAGACTCGTCAGTTTGTCCTCGTGGTTGGTGCCCGGAAATCTATGGCCAATCAGGACACCAACATGTCGTCACATCACAGGTGACACACCTTGTGACACTGTCTAAACCCAACATCATAGAGAAGAGACAGAAACGTTCATCTCAAAACAACATTTTCAAGAAACAAGCTGAAATAACATCAAACAACAAAAAATACACCCGTGGGTCAAATTCCAGGGCCAAACTGTCAATTAGTTTTTCAATGAAAAGGAAAGTGTAACAACTTGAACAGAAGGAACAGGATGTGTTAGTAGGAACGTCAGGTCGACAACACAGCCTGTTCTTACCCACTCTCTGTCGACTAAGATCGATACCCTGTAATATCTGCAGCATTGGGGTGGTCGCTAAAACAAAATACACTTGCTTAAACTTATGGTAATTCTTGCCCCAAATATTCCTGTATATAGGAACTAGAATAAAATGATTCATCTCATATCGAAAATGAGAACACGACGAAGATCGATACCCTGTAATATCTGCAGCATCGGAGCGGTCGCTAAAACAAAATACACTTGCTCAAACTTGAGTTAACTCTTGCCCAAATTATTCTTGTAAAAATGAAATAATGAAATAATTCATTTCATATTCAAAAATGAGAACAAGCTTCGCTTTTGGGTCAAACTTAACTCTTTCTTCCCACCAGCAGGGACTATGCACTACAGTATGTACGATCCCAGTATCGGACAATAGGTTCACGTGCCACATAAAAGGGGCTTTGCAAACTTCTTAAGCTTGAGTCAGTAAACTATATTGTTCTTACATCTTCACCCAAGGATTGAATTCCAGCCTGTGAAATTTCTCACGATTATAACAAATACAAAACAAAATGGCCTCCATTCTCCATAACACATCGTAACCGGTCTGCACAGCCATTCTCCATCAAAATTCCATAATGATGTCTACTGCTGCTGACTACTGTTCCAAACCAGGAATATAAACGCCTTTCTGTATATTTATTTGGAGCAAGTAAAACTGATGCACAATACAGTTTGTAAATTTATCAACCACATCCTGATTCAAGTCGAAGAAATCACCCAATCTGGTATATTCTGGAAGATAAATCGACAGATTCAAGTGATTTTGTTCATTAAGTAAACAGATACTGTCTTTCCGCGTGCCCATGTCAAGTAATCATCGAATGTTCTTAATTAAAATAAAATTGTCCTTTCATGTGCCCTTGTGACGTGATCATCGAATGTTGGTAGTTATAGATTTTTGTATATTCAATGATTATGCGCACAATGACATTGTCTTTCCGCGTGCCCTTGTCATGTGACCACAGGCAAACTGATTGGTTGTTTGGTTGTTGTTTAACGCCACACTCAGCAGTATTCCAGCTATATGGCAGCAGTCTGTAAATAATAAAAGTCTGGACCACACAATCCAGTGATCAACATCATGAGCATCGATCTACCATCCAACTGAACCTGGCCACAAACACAGCGACCACATTACAAAACCCTGATGTTAGACCAACCCATTCCTCCATTGGACACAATTATGCAGTGTACTACCTTACAACAAATGCCATATGACTAGGCTGCTATGTTAGTTCTAAGAGAGGCTACGTCTCCCGTACTACACACAGGTCATTCCAACCGAACAGACTCAGGCATAGACATCTGTAACTAGAGATCACAACAACTTTCTTCATAACAGAGAAACAAAGACAATAAATCAAGATTAACATCCACAAATTATTCACCGTCACTCCCAAGATTCATATGAAAAATGCCCTTACATGCAAGGAATATTCCTCTGACTTAATCCACTCAATCTGACTTGCAGTCTGGGAAAACCAAACTTCGTAATCGTTTTTCCGAATCAGAACAAGCTTTCATTGTTCGAATTAAAGCTTGAGATTATCACAGTCGTGGGACCAAACACACCCAAACGATCCTCGGCCAGGAGACTGAAGTGAGTGAATGTTGTTATATATTTCCGGCAATATTCCAGCCGTGACATTCAAGGAGTGGGTCTGACAGCTCCCTGGGTGATGAGTGAAGATCCATTGATAGAGGTACGAAGGCACACCATCAGCCAAGGTCACACACCATAACTTTCTCACCTTGAGTTTAGCAACGTAAGATTTTAACTCACTCGCTCACTCAATAAGTTTCTCATCTAGAGCCGAGGACCTATTTCACCCACCAGGGACCGTTTGTCAGAGTAAGTGAGTTCAGTTTTACGCCGCTTTTAGCAATATTCCAGCAATATTCCAGCAATATCACGGCAGTAGAAACACCAAAAATGGGCTTCACACACTGAAGCATGTAGACTCAAACCCAGTCTGCAGCATGACAAGCAAATGCTTTACCCTCTTGGCTAACAACGCCCTCATTTGTTAGAACACATGTGGTTATAAACAAGGTGCCACGGACACAGATCGACTGTGGAATCTACCACGTGCAACGTACTAACAGAGTCGGCCCTGAACGCTTGGAATCTGCCTGTAGAGCACTACACAGGTTATATCGACATGGGGATGAATGATAGTGAACAATACAAGATATAGCTTACTGCCTGTATTAGGAACTGAAAAATAAACAATACACATTCACTGCAATAAACAATGTTAAGGAATGTGTGGTCTTTCGCTACAATGGATATTAAGTACGTAATGGGTTGGAGTAGATTTTTTAATTCATTTAGAAAATTTCCAATTTATTTTCTTTTGAATCCACAACAAACACATGGCTCATGCTATACCATTTGTAAACATTTAGACTTTTTTTTCTTTTAAAAAACTTGTGTTGACCCTTGAAGTTTACATTGCTTGTTAGCAATAACTAATTGGAATTGTGAATGAGCCAAACACCTGATCATACAAATGATTAACAATGTTAGAATTTTGAACATTTTCATGATTTTGTTAAAACAATTATACTCAAAAGTGTGTAGACAATCTGTCCATGACAGAATTGCCTTCTCCTTGTTCTGGAATAACATGGCACATGAGCCGAATTTGTGAGTGAACAACACCTCTCTCAAGGTATTAATGTGTCTGCAACATACCGTAGTTCGCAGATGTTTCCACCAATAAAACCAGAATAAAACCTCAGTTAAAATCATTGTTGAAAGAATTTTGACATTACATCTCCAAATCACATACTTACTTGTTTCAAAATTTCATAATTGAGTCTTGTCATGATAGAAACAAATGCAACAGAGAACAGGGTTTCTATGGAAACTGGCATGTTTGCTGGACAGGAAAACACTGCATTTGAAATTTCAGCAGATTTTCTCTTTGGTTCTTATGTTCTCTAAAGACAAAATGAAGTTCAATAAGCCATGTTTATATTCCACCTGAGTCATATCTTTAAAGGGAATGGGGGATGAATACTGTCTTATAGCGGGTCAAGAACTGAATCGGGACAGGTTAAGCCAGAGGTCATCGCCAAGGGCAACAGATTATTCGTCCATCCCAATGACCTTCAATTGCCTTTGGGAACAAAGAATTTATTTGACCTCGGAACCTAAACATGGAGGTAGTATGGCGAATTGAGGACATATTCAGGCATACATCTCTGCAGGGTTTGAATATAGGACCTGCCTTACAATTCCCACAAGGAGACAGTTTGGTAACCAAGGACCTTGTCTGTCACAGAATCCCCAGAGACAACATGGTCAACCAAGGACCTTGTCTGTCACAGAATCCCCACAGACAGCATGGTCAACCAAGGACCTTGTCTGTCACAGAATCCCCACAGACAGCATGGTCAACCAAGGACCATGTCTGTCACAGAATATCTAGACAGCATGGCCAACCAAGGACCTTGTCTGTCACAGAATATCTAGACAGCATGGTCAACCAAGGACCTTGTCTCTCACAGAATATCTAGACAGCATGGTCAACCAAGGACCTTGTCTCTCACAGAATCCCCAGAGACAGCATGGTAACCACTAAGCTTGTCTGACAATCCCAAGGGGATACAAGAACGAGATTGCAGCAGTGCAGACATGCTTCAGCACCAACCTTACATCAAAGAGCCAGACCCATTACAGCATTTCATAAATTGTTTCAAGGTAACAGCTGACAATATGTCCAACAAGTCCTGCCAGTTTCCATATCGGTGTAGACACCCGAGCATAAAGAATCACTTACGTCCGCCAGGTGGTGTTGTGAATATTTTATTTGTGGCCATGGACTCTCCGATAGCGTTGATGGCAGTGATCTGTAGTTCGTAGGCCGAGTTGGGCATGAGTTCAGTTAGACTAATCTCGGTCGTATCACCCTTGCCAATCGTCTTGGTGATCATCTCGCCAACAACCTTTTCCACCTTCTCCGGGTCATCAGCTTTCAGTTCCACCTGCACACACACGCAATTCCATGAAACAGAAATATGACATTGAATGCGATAAGCCTAATGTTAAAAGCTTCTTTGTAGGGGTGAGACGGTATACAACTGTATTTTGCCCTGGGTTTGGTATAGCGGTATACAACTGTATTTTGCCCTGGGTCTGGTATGGCAGTATACAACTGTATTTTGCCCTGGGTTTGGTATGGCGGTATACAACTGTATTTTGCCCTGGGTTTGGTATGGCGGTATACCACTGTATTTTGCCCTGGGTTTGGTATGGCAGTATATGGCGGTATACAACTGTATTTTGCCCTGGGTTTGGTATGGCGGTATACAACTGTATTTTGCCCTGGGTTTGGTATGGCGGTATACAACTGTATTTTGCCCTGGGTTTGGTATGGCGGTATACAACTGTATTTTGCCCTGGGTTTGGTATGGCGGTATACAACTGTATTTTGCGGTATACAACTGTATTTTGCCCTGGGTTTGGTATGGCGGGTATATACAGCTGTATTTTGCCCTGGGTTTGGTATGGCCCTGGGGTATACAGCTGTATTTTGCCCTGGGTTAGGTATGGCGGTATACAGCTGTATTTTGCCCTGGGTTTGGTATGGCGGTATACAACTGTATTTTGCCCTGGGTTTGGTATGGCGGTATACAGCTGTATTTTGCCCTGGGTTTGGTATGGCGCTATACAGCTGTATTTTGCCCTGGGTTTGGTATGGCGCAATACAATCAAAACATTTTGTAGTTTCGGTTTCTGTACCATCATTTTAGTAACCTTTTTAAATATTTTCTAAAATGTCTAGAAATGGAACATTTTGTCAAAATCTATGCATTTCTGTAAGGTTTAGCACTTCTTGTCAATTTTCTGCATTATGATCATAACTCACACACTGAACCAAAACAGACTGAACCAAAGGATTTGTACCGCACCTTACCCTGGTAAGACCATAAGAGCACCGTTTCACCCCTAGTGCTTTGTTTTAAGGTTTGTATGCTTCTCAATGTGCACGTAGCAAAATTCTAGGTACATGACAATCGATGGAATTGGGACACTAGGACATGCATAAATTTCTCATTTGATGGATGGACTGACTGATTAACATCACACACAGCAATGTTCCAGCTATATGGCAGCGGTCTGTAAACAATCAAGTCTGGACCAGATATTCCAGTGATCTACAATGTAAGCATCGCAATTGGGATATGATGACACGTCAAACAAGTCATGCAGAGAGAAACGTATTACTTCCAGTCACTTACTTCCCAGTCAAAACAATACATGGCTGCTTTAAGATGCAGGAGGATTTTGTGTTGCCTGCACCTGGTGCAGCCTGTTACTGAAGATCACCTGATCCAGACAGTGTTACCTGCACCAGGTGCAGCCTGTTACTGAAGATCACCTGATCCAGACAGTGTTAACATGCAACAGTGCAGGTTGAAAACAGCGAAATCGCACGCCGGACAGCTCCGAACAACCCTGCACTGTGAGCAAAACGTCCACAAGGTGGAACTTTCATCTGTTTCAATCACGTCATGGATGACAGCCATGGGGACGATACGTACCTGGTAATACTTGACCTTATAGCCAGTCAGAGGTTTGCCGCCAGTCTCCGGTTTCTCCCAAACCAACTTGTAGCTGTTAGGATTATCACTAGACCTAGGGGAGGTAACTTTTGGATGGTTTGGTTGCCCTGAAGACAAACAACAATGTCATTTCAAGTGATGCTAAGTCTTGTTTCAAACCTCAGTCTTCTCATTTTTCTAGAGGAATTGAGACTGGGTAAATTGGTAAAAGTGAGGGAGTGAGTATGTTTTATCGCCAATATTCCAGCAATATCACGGCGGTGGACACAGGGATGAGAATGAAGTTTTGAGAAAAACTCTGAAAACTAGCCGGGGGTTTAGCATCTATCGGATTTAGACGATTGGCCTTATGAAATTCCCGGAATTCCGCGGATCCGCGTAAAACTCTCATCCCTGTGGACACCAGAATTGGGTTTCGCACATTATACCCATATGGGGATTTGAACTCAGGTCATCAGCACGACAAGCAAATGCTTTAACCACATGGCTACCCCCATCTCCCCCAGATAAGAAACAATAATGTGATTCCAAAACTCCTTCTTGAAAACTACACTGTTTGATTCCAGTGATCACGAACTGAATTCATGTTGGGGTATATGGCATGACTCACTGAATGTGCGCGTGAGTCGTAACATCCCTGATATATACTAAAGTATAAGTTTTGTCAAGCTCCTTTTGTCAGGTGTCAACTTACGGACAGCTGGTGTTGTGTCCGAGATTTCAGCCTTGGCTCCATAGCCGACGTTGTTGCGAGCCTCCACGCTGATGTAGTATCGTACCTCGGCACTCAGATTATCGATGAGGAACCGTGTTCGCAATTCCTGGGCATTTGCGCCTGAGAAACACAAAGTCAAATTATTAAAAGTTAATACTGAAATCAGCGAACATGACAGAGAGAACTCAGATGAACTGTCAGTACAGGAGCACTGAGGGGGTAGAAGGGGAGAAAGAATTGCACGAGACGTTTCTTTGTTGTTTAACATTGAGTGGGTGAGTATGGTGTTACGGTGCTTTTAGCATTATTCCAGCAATATCACGGCGGAAGACACCAGAAATGGGCTTCACACATAGCACCCATGTAACGAATCGAACCCGCATCTTAACGTGCTGAGTGAATGGTTTAACCATTAGGCTACCCCACCGCCACTGTTTAACATTGAACAACACACATTCTAGCAGGGAATATCACATATTCTAGCAGGGAATATCACACATTCTGGCAGGGAATATCACATATGCTAGCAGGGAATATCACACATTCTGGCAGGGAATATCACATATGCTAGCAGGGAATATCACACATTCTAGCAGGGAATATCACACATGCTAGGGGACATATTCACACTTAGCAATATTCCAGCTATATGGCAGCAGTCTGTAAATAATCGAGTCTGGACCAGACAATCCAGTGATCAACGAATGAGCATCAACCTACGCAACTGGGAACCGATGACATGTGTCAACCAAGTCAACGGGTCTGACCACCTGAACCCGTTAGTCGCCTCTTACGACAAGCATTGATTACTGAAGACCAATTCTAACCCGGATCTTCACGGGTGTCGCATGAGAGAAGAACATTGCCAAAAAGACAAGAGTGGAGAAGGATTTTGGTCTTAAATGTGATTAATTAACAAGTCCACTTACTGACAGGAGCCATTCGTGTGACCTTGTTTTGTTCATCACCCTCTGCGTAGTACACAACCTTGTAGTCAATAATGGGTTGGCCGCCAGTCTCTTGATGAGGGGTTATCAGCAGGTCGATGGTTGTGGGAGACACTCCATCGATGGAAATACTTGGGGCAGATGGCACAACTGAAATTAAAAGTGAACATCAGATACAGAAGCAATACATTTATTTGAGGAGGAGTATCAAGAGAAACAAGGTTTTTCTCCAGAAATAGTTTAAACAGTATGCTCCAAGAATAGGACACATTTTTTACCTGCGTTTCACCGGGGCCTCGTTCCACATAGTCATCAAAACACTGATTGTATCTGCCAAACTTTAACATAATCTTCCGACAGTTGTTGCATTGTAACTATGATCAGTGTGGAACAGCATCCTGGGACCTGATTCACAAAGCGATCGTAGCGCTACGACAGTCGTAAGTCTATGTTAAAGTATGGGAGTTACGACTGTCGTGAAACTCTGATCGCTTTGAGCCCTGATTCACAAAGCGATTTGTAAGTCTATGTTAAAGTATGGGAGTCCTCGATGTTAACGGGCCCTGATTCTAAAGTCGTAAGTCTATGTTAAAGTATGGGAGTTACGACGCTTTGAGGAAAGCTGATTCATGTCGTAAAGTCTATGTTAAAGTATGGGAGTTACGACTGTGTCATTGAGAACTTCGATAAACTTTGAGCTCTGATCGTAAGTCTATGTTAAAGAACGGGCCCTGATTCACAGCGATCGGGCCCTGATTCACAAAGCGATCGTAGCGCTACGACTGTCATAAGTCTATGTTAACATATGGGAGTTACGATCACCTTAGCGCTACAATCCCTTTGTGAAACAGGCCCCTGGCTTCAATGAGTGAGTGAGTATGGTATTGTGCTGCTTTTAGCAATATTCCAGCTATATCATGGCGGGGGACACCAGAAGTTAGCTTCACACACTGCAACCATGTGGGGATTCAACCCGGGTCTTCAGTGTGACGAGCAAACGCCTTAGCCATTAGGCTCCTCCGCCTCATCTCCTGGCGTCTAAGATTACTTGTTACTGAAATGTTCCAGCACCCATCTAAAATTCAGAAATTCCTAATAACAAACAATTGTTTTCCCCATTTTTTTCCGTGCAAATGGAGCTCTTAGTTTGGAATCCTAGATAAATCCCTGGGTTTGAAAATGATCAAAAACAGACCAGATTACCCACTGATTGACACTTTGAGTTGCATGTCGAGAATTCGTAAAATCCCCGAGCTCCAGCATGCTATACACTATAGTGGAGTGTCGTCTTGCGCATAGAATTCTAATTGAGCAACATTGGTCACGGAGCGTTCTTGGATGAGTGTTTGAATTACACAACTTAACTTCATTCCTGCGCCACAACAAAGCACATGTGGTCTCACCTGAATTTGTTAAAGCAGCAGTGAATGGGTACCAGGTGGGATAAGCTGTATGACTATCAACCTAACGCTTCACAGGCAGCTTGGGTTAGCCGGGATAATAATGTCCATATGTTGTGTGCACTTAGAGCATGCTCGTACATTATTTATCATTATAACATGGAGCCATGGAGATCTGCTATCACTGCGCGGTGGGTGAGCTGGCTAAGGCACCAGGCTAGTGATCCAGCGAGGTTGAGGTGTCAGGATCGAGCCCACCTGTGACCGGGTGTAAAATCCCTGGAGTCAACTTTGTGTGCAGACTCTTTCAGTGTTGTAACAACCCTAGTGTACAGTACACAACCCTGTGCACTTAAAAACAACCCACGAATCCGTTGGTATATGACCAGATGGTGGCCACATGAATACGTGCAAACACCTAGTTGCGGGTACAGCAACATGCAGTAAACTTGGACAAAGTACTGTGACTATGTGTCCCAGTCCACCCAGCTGTGAATGGGTACCTCGTTAGGATGAGAAAGCCACAATAACTCCTAGTGGCTGCTAGTGTTGGTTATTCCCCAGGGAGTTGAGATTGATAATACGATGTGCCGTTGAGACTGACATCTAATGATCAAGGGAAAATAATACCAGCACCTTGAGCATGCACTAGTTGCGTGGATATGAGCACTATCTAAATATCCTATAATAATACTTACCTGCTTGAAGCAAGGTTATCTCGTTCTCAGACTCGCCATGGAAGTTCTCAGCTATGCAGGTGAACTTCCCAAAGATAGTGTTCTCATTCTCAACGTTCACGGAAACCTGCAAAATAAACCAGTTATGTCGGACTTACTGCTGGTGAAAACAATCGTAATTCATCATTAAAAAGAATGAGATAAAACCTTCGGAGTAATGAGTTTGCTGTTGCAGTTGTATATGTTCATAAAATTACACAGAACAGTCTGCAGACAGAATAAATCGGTTCCACAGAACTCTTTGCTCCGACCTGTCTGATGAGGTAAATTTGTTTTTGAAAGTAGCAATGATCACCATGCGAGTCACACGTGAAGATCCGCGTGGAAATCGTGCTACAGCAACCAATGTTTGTTGTTAGAGACATTGTTAAAGACAACAAACTGCATCATATTCCAATTGCATAGATCGAATCTGATGACGTTGATCAGTGGATTGTCTGGTCCAGACTCAGTTACTACAAACCTCCACCATACAGCTGGAATATTGCCGAGTGTGGCATCAACAATAAACAGGAATAAAACAAAACATGTGAGTCCCAGTCTGGGGTCTTTGTGCGAAACGTTTATATTTCACCCAAGCACATTATTTTCATGAGTGAGTTGGGTTTTACGCCGCTTTAAGCAATATTCCAGCAACATCCCAGCGGGGGACACAACAAATGAGCTTCACACATTGTACCATGTGGGGATCCAACCCGGTCTTCAGCATGACAAGAAATGCCAACCCCAAAGTGTTGCAATTAGTAGCTTCAAGAATCAAAATTAATAGTTTGAATATAAAATTAGTAGTCAACTATATACTTAAAATCTTGACGGATTCTGAGAAAGATAATATGACACTAATAAAGAGTGAAGCTTTAACTTCACATACTTCCAACAGCAGATTTCCAAATTATCATTTTTTCATGTCATCTCTTTTTGGTAAAATGTATTTTATCAACGAAAATATATGTTCTTATCTATATATCCAAATTTTATTCAACTTCCTTCAATTTATTTTAGAATTTCTAGTGAAATCCTATTGACGTATTTTGATGCTAAAATTCGTAGCGACAACGATAAAATTGCAGATGTTGGTATCACTGCATGACGAAAGCTTTCACCTCTCGGCTAACCCAAACACCCCTACATTAAACACGTTGAAAACCAACAAACCTGCAGAATGCTGGTCATCTGTCGAATTCCTCTCTCGGAGCTGATCTGGAAGTTGGGTCCGTCAGCGATAATGGCACCATTATGCTTCCACTTGATGACAGCGAGAGGTACGGCGTTTGCCACACACTTGATCTCCGTCTTCTGGTTTAGCCAGCTGTAGGTTGACGTGTAGGGGGTGTCTGCGAAGTTGGGCTTGACTGGAACAAAACCATGGACTCAGCATGCTGTGGTTATGTCTAGGGATGTCACGATACGTAAGTTTCACGAATCGATACGTACTACGATACCCATGTCACGATTCGATACGTATCACGAAACATATGTTTGCGGCATTATTGCGTAAATTTAGTTTTGAACATTAATGTTACATATTTTATAATTGTCCATGAAAAGATCAACATCTTTGATTCTCAGAGATTAAAAAGTTCTAATTTCCCATCTTTGTGCATAAAAATAATCACTTATAACTCTCATAACATCAAAAAACATGATCCAATTGCAAAATGTACATGATACATAAACCTATTTAAACCGATAATTTCAAATCTAAACATCGATACAGTTTTGAATGTATCGATAATTGCATCCTCTTAGAAAAAGTATCGATGTTAGTGTTGAGAATCGACCTCTAAAACCATGATCGATTATCGATGTCTTCTGTCGATCAATCATCGATAAATGATCGACTACAAGCATGGATTTATGACCACAAGACCAGCTGGATGAGACGACTGCTACAAGATCGCTGGTAATAAAGATCTGTCATATGACATGAGATCGTAACCCATGCTTCTTAGAAATGGATTAAAAAACACTTTGCCGAAAGGATCTTTAAAATCATGGAGTATTTGACAACAAATATGAATTAAGATCACACTTTTTACAGCTAAACAACACATCCGTCAACTATTTGTGAGTGAAAACTGAGAAACGTTGAACTCAAGATCTAAGTGTCGACTTCGATGCAGAAATCAGAATAGAACGGATATAGATCTAAGAGTAGATGTGACAAATATCAATAAAGCTATCCATCTCCAACCTTGTCCGTGAATTCGGCGAAAAAATTGAGCCTTTCGCAAATACAAAATGTCTTCTCAAAGCGTACCACGTGCGGGAGAGCAGGCATTTTGTTGACAGTTTGGTCAGCCAATCAAACCACTTGTTTCGATCACGTGTTATATTTCTCATGAGTATTTGGTGTTGTTAAAGCCACGCTTTCATAACATACTACATTTATGAAACCTTCATCAATGCTTGCATATTTAAACATGTAATTAAAACATGGGTCTAAATATTATATGCATCCACGCCAAAACTGTTGTTACACTGCAAGCCACTACCTGCACAAAGAAACGACTGCTCCCTTGGCAAGCTATAAATAGACTTGACTTCCTGTATTACGGCTGCGATTGCGAGCCTACCTGGAGGTATTTACGAATCTTGCATGCACACCAATCGTTTGTTATTCTTGAAGATAGTATTCAGTGTTATCGACTGATTTTTTTTAAAATCGATAATCGAAGTTTGCCACAACGAATTATCATATGCAAGCCAATTTAGTTAATTGTGTAAAGGATGCAAGGTATTATGGACCTATTGGGTTTTAAGTCATTCTGCTGCATTTTATACTCCCGGATTTGTAATTCATTGAGTAAATGTGATTTTTATTGCGTAAGCAACAAAGTGATAGGCTAAACCATGACACTGACTTCCACACAGACCCAAGCAGGGGACACAACCCCACACTGCCCAGATACTACAGATGTCAGCTTGATCTGCTACTCACACTCCACAAGCACTCGGCCATCCGCCTCCTGAGTTCCTGCTTCATTGGAGGCTGAGCATGTGTAGTTGTTGGCATGTTTGGGTTCCAGTTTGGCGAACTTCAGCTTCACAGTCATCACTTGGATCAGAGGCTGTTTATCCACAGACGATTCGATGCTGATTCCTTCGTCCTGTAATATTCAAACACACATTATAATAGTCAAAGTAACTGAGTAATTTGCATTTGTCATTCATTGAGGAAGGGCCACGCCATATGATTAAGTATTTAAACTGACAAATGTTTGAAACCAACTGAATGGAAGCACCTTTTTTGGCAATATTCCAGCAACATCATGATACCAGAAATTGGCTTTAAACATTGGACCAATGTAGGAATTTCCTGGAAATCGAACATTGGCCTTCAGCATCATGATCAGACGCTTTAACCAGTAGGCAACTGATCCAATGAATGGAAGCGAGGTAATATACAATCCTCTTGTGGAAAAGTAGCTGTGAAATACATGTCAGAGCATATTGAGGGACTCTCCATTAGCAAGAACAGCTGGACGGCAACTCACTTGACTGTCTGAAATGGTCATGTCAGATCCCTTGATTCTCCAGGTGACTGTCGGGGCAGGGTCGCCCTTGGCAACACACGCAAGCTCCACTGCATTACCCTCAGGTTCGGACTGGTTTACAGATCGGCTCAATGATAGGAGGCACTGAAGGATGCGAGGGGCACATTGGTAATATCATCATTGATCTTAGGAGAAAGGAATGCTGATTTTATCAGCAAACAACAGGCACAGACACACGTTACGGCCAATGAAAAAACTAGTGTGCTTGCATATATCCCTTAGTCAGGACAGAGCATGTTCAGATCAAAGAGTTACTTCCCTTAGTTTGAATGGAACATGTTCCCAAATGGTAAAACTGACTGACTGAGTTTGGTTTTATGCGCTTTTAGCAATATTCCAGCAACATCACGGCAGGGGACACCAGAAATGGGCTTCACACATTGTGCCCATGTGGGGATTCGAACCCGGGTCTTCAGCGTGACGAGCCAACGCTTTAACCATTAGGCTACCCCACCGCCCCCCCAAAAGGTAAAGACCGCCTCCGTGGTGTAGTGGTTAGAGCGTCCGCCCGGAGAGCGCAAGGTCGCGGGTTCGATCCCCGACCGCGTCATACCAAAAGACGTTAAAATATGGTACTTGTTGGTCCCTGCCTGGCGCTCGGCATAAATGGGTATAACAAGGACTGGTCTGCTCGGAGTCAGTATAATGTGTCTGAGTGGGGTATTCATCCTTCACTGCGGCATGGTGTCTCAGTGGGCTAGCACTATAAAACCAGCTTAAGTCTGGGCTAGTACAAGCAGCCGCACATACAGATACACACGCATGCACGTCGTCATATGAGCGAAATATTCTCAAGCATGACGTAAAACCCAATTTCACCTCACCTCACCTCACCCAAATGGTAAAAGAAAATCAAAGAGTTATTTCCCTTTGTCAGAAAGGAACATGTTCCCACGCAACAAAACAAAATCAAAGAGTTATTTCCCTTAGCTTGTAAACTCACCAATGGTATTGATGAAGACAGACTCGGTCACATCCCCCCCTTGGTTATGGGCGACACAGGAGTACGTGCCCTCGTCACTGTCTTGGAGCTCGTCGATGACCAGGATGCCTTGGTTGACACCATTCACGTCATTGACGATGCTCACCTTGTATCTCTCTCCCGACAGAACAATATCATCCTGGAACATAGGAGGAGACAGTGTGTCACAATGCACAAGATAGGCACAGATAGCATTGCTAAACTTTTCTGATCTGAAAGTCTCATAGATAGTAAGCATGGTTTTACGCCGCTTTTAGCAATATTCCAGCAATATCCCGGCAGGGGATCTCATAGAATTACTTGCACGGGATGGACTGGCTATGATCATTAATCAGAAACATCATCGATGGGAATTATTATCAATGATTATCGATATGAAAATTGTGTAATTGTTAATATCAAAAATGAACTATTGTGATAAAATAATTATATAATTTAATCAGGAAATACACAAAGTTCGGAATTAATTCATGGGTTGCTCACAAAGTATGTTCAGGACTAGGGGTGGGTATTGAAGACAATTTTCATATTGCGATATATTGCGATGCGAAAGCATGTATTGCGATATGTATTGCAATATATTTCATGAAGTAATTTTATACAAAAACTACTTATAATCGAGTTATTTCTTGATTTATAGAGCAAAAACACAACAAAATCACTATGCTTGATTAAGCTTTAATAACAACTTTTAATCATGATAAAATAAAAATGTGAATAATATTTGGCACAAATGAAACAAGGACATATCCGAACATTTCCGAGTTTTACGAAGTTTTCCAAATGCAAGTCAAAATACCGATTTTCGATCAGCGTATTGCAATACGTATCGTTTTCATTTTCACGTCTGAACCGGTTATATTGCGCAGCCCTATTCAGGACGTGTTTTGTCGGTAACCAAGGCTAAATACGTCACCACTTATCACTCATTTGAAATGGCGTTGATTTCTTTCAGGTTTTAGGCATTTTAGCTCAAAGTTACTTCTCTAATATTTATCGATAATCGATCATTCATTTATCGATGATCAATCTCTATGATATATATTGATAGCTAGGCCCACGCATAAGGTACAGAGGATCTTTTACCAGAATCCCAACACAAACACTGACCACTTCAAGTTATCCTAAACAAAGTGCCAGAGGGCGAAACGCGTTCTCACCTTCTTGAATGTAAATGATGGTGGTGGAGTGCCATCTGCCACGCACGTCATCTCGAACCTCTTGCCGACAATGGGTGTACTACGAGTTGGGGGGGCCCTTCAGGGAAGGTGGGACTGAAATGTGGAATCAAGGTTTAGAAAAGGCAAATATATGAATCCATTTGCTGGTTTTCATGAAAATATGATTGGTTGGTTTGTTCTGTTACATCGCACTCAGCCATGCAGTAGCGCAAGTCATGTGAGTTTGCCAAGGCCGCACATGGTACTGTTGATTAACTATTACATACCAAATTTTTAGTGTCAGGAGATCACTGGTTATTGCTGTGACAAATTAACACTGTGAACATGGGCGTCCATATTGTGCATAAATAACTTAACTAGAATATTGTATTCATGAATAATTATTCGTATTCAGTACCCAATATTCATGATACGTATCATATCCGCCACATAGTGTATTCGTTGCAGCCCTAGTGTCAACCATGTGAGACCACCCTATCCCGATAGTCGTCTCTTTGGGCAATATAAATATTTAGCATATTCCACCAATATCAAGGCGGGTGTCACCAGAAATACGCTTCACACACAGTACCCATGTGGGGAATCAAACGTGACGAGCGAACGCTTGAACCACTAGGCTACCCTCATCGCCCTTTTGTGAATGAAAACTTCAACTTACCTGTCACTTTGACAGTGACGGCAAACGGCAGCGAATCGAACATTTCTTCCACAGTGATGAGGCAGATGTAGACTCCGTTGTCAGCCTTGGTGATGTTCTTGATCTCCAGTCCATGGTCCAGCTGCTTGTAGCGGTCACCTACAAACATCACCAGACATGTTCTTCCAGTCTATATGGTATACAACCTATACACTGACTGACTGACTGACAGACTGACTGAGTTTGGTTTTACGCCGCTTTTAGCAATATTCCAGCAACATCACGACGGGGGACACCAGAAATGGGCTTCACTCATTGTACCCATGTGGGGATTCGAACCCGGGTCTTCGGCGTGACGAGCCAACGCTTTAACCACTAGACTAACCCACCGCCCCACAACCTATACACACTGAAGGCCAACAGTGATGCAGCCAGGATTTCCACTTGTCCTCTACCTAATGTGGGCCAATAACCAAAAGTGACAGATTTTTCAGATAGATAGCCGTAAAAAATCTGTCAGTGAGTGAGTGATTTTAGTTTTACGCTGCACTCAGCAATATTCCAGCTATATGGTGGCGGTCTGTAAATAATCGAGTCTTGACCAGACAATCCAGTGATCAACAGCATGAGCATCGATCTGCGCAATTGGGAACCGATGACAAGTGTCAACCAAGTCAGCGAGCCTGACCACCCGATCCCTTTAGTCGCCTCTTACGACAAGCATGGGTTACTGAAGGCACATTCTAACCCGGACCTTCATGGGTTAAAAAATCTGTAATCCTTCTCATAAGGACAAAACTTTAAGGACAAAAAAGATGTAATCCTTCTCTTTGACAATTTGACAGCCAAAATGATTCTATGGTAAAGTCGATACATCAAGTTGAGCTCCATACAGTGAAACAAGCTCCTTCATATTACAGTTTCATATGCAAATAGACGTCTAGTAATGAGCAGGGCTTAGGGAGCCTCGTTTCCGGAAGTTCAATACTTTGATTCTAATTTCCGAATATTCAATGAAAATAGTTGTATTTTGAAATTAATTGCGCAGCTGATATCTAAAAACGTGTAATAAATTAAAATTTGCACCACTGTTGGTGCATACATTCATTAATAAAGCACCAAGGTAAGTAGAATTAGCGGAATCCCGCAAATACACAGTCTGGCTGCAGTACTGGACCAGCCAACGAATCTACAGTACCACTGACAGAAAGCCACAGAGTTACAATATGGCCATTAAATAAAGATGTTGTGGTTACGATTACCCAACCGACCCTTGAATTCTGATGCCAACCCCATTTATTTTAAGCAGTAAGAATGAAATAAGCGTTCAGATACCATTTTATTTTCACAGCACTGACAGACATCAGTCATTCCGACATGAAGGCCGCAAACTTGATCGTATACACAATTACACATTGAGAAATGCGTTATTAGTTTGTACTTTACTTCCCCAAAAATGTAAAAAGAAAAATCAAAACAAAACTCCAAACTATTCTAAATTTTAAAGAGGTGTAACCGGAAGCACATTATTTAAAACGATAGTGACGTGTGAAGCGTTCTGACCTCTGACGGCGCTCCTGTTGCCAAAGAGCCACTGTACCGTGGGTGCAGGGTTTGCCGTTGCGTCGCACTTGATCACAGCATCCGTGTGGATGTTTGGCTGCTGAGTGTGGTTGGAGGACACCTTGATTCCATCTGTAAACAGCAGTGATAAAGTAATATAAACAAGAGGATACATACCAGATTTTTGCTCTTTAAGGCTAAGATAGTCGAGTTGTTAATTTAATACTTGGTGTTTTGTTTTACGCTGCACTCAGCAATCAGCTATATGGCAGCAGTCTGTAAATCATCAAGTCTGGACAAGACAATACAATGATCAGGGCTCCAGATACTTTTTTAACATCAGGAGTATGTACTCCTTATGTTTTCAATATAGGAGTACTGGATAAACTAAGAGTACATTTAGAGTACCGAATGGAATTTAATGGCGTATCAGTGATCTTGTATTTCGTTTTATATATGCACCACAACATTGCTACTCTTGTGTAAACATTGCCGTTGTACAAAAGCGATCTTAGCTAAACAGTTTTGTACAATGGCACCCAAGTCAATAAATAATAAGACAATACTTTTTCAGATAAATACGTCTGTAAATGATTTTAAGATGGTACACCATTACTGTGGTGCGTATCTGCTACGTTTTCTAAATTATTTCCTACTGTATCGGGCATATTTGCTATCCATACATACACCGATACGTCTCTTATCTGGAGCCCTGAGTGATCAACATCATAATCATCGTTCTACGCACTTGGTATACGATAACATGTCAAAGAGCCTGACAACCCGATTCCTTTAGTCGCCTCTTACGACAAGCATTGGTTGCTGAAGGCTCATTCTAACCCAGATCTTCACAGGTCCAGATAACCCACACATCTAACATGAACAGCTTCTCACAAAATTTCCATCAGATTATCAGAAAATCAAATCTGAGACCTCAGTTTCGTTTTTGATAACCACTTTCACTATTTCGATTCGATATTTGAACACCTATTTAGATTATTTCCACCCAGCCAAAACATAATTTTGACTCAAACTCGAGCAGTTCAGAGTGCTGAAATAAGGAGAAACGTGATTGGCTGACACCGTGCTAATTATCCAATAAGAATTATTGTTAGTAGACATCACCAAGCTGACGATGGATTTCACGCTAAAAAAGCAGACACGGAGGCTAAATGAAATCTGATGTTTTTACTTGCATGTAGAATAGAATAAAAATGATCTACTTCAGGGTCCAGTATCGAAAATTGAATCGAATCGAGGTCTGGGTGAATCCTTGCTGCCCTACTGTTACATGTTTACCGTAGAGATTGAGCTGTATATCCTTGGTCAAGGTGTTGCCTCCGATTGTGCCTCGGCACGTATACGTTCCCTCATCTCCGTTCTTCAGCGTGTCAAACTGCAGGCGGTTACTGTTACCAATCGACATTGAGTAGATCCTGCAACAAGAAGGGGTGACAACTGCAACAAGAAGGGGTGACAACACTTTTCAGTATATTTTTACTTCATCTTATTTCAGTTCATGTTGTGAGGAGGGATATCCGACATACTGCCTGGAGATATAAGCTAACTGGGGATATCACAGTCATGTCAACTGGTAGGCCATGCTATCAATATGGTCTGCTTCAGTGCACTGTTTTTATTGCACTATGTAATATCAGAAATATGCTGTTGAATTATGCAGATGTTTTATTCAGAAGTTTACCCGCTCAAAAATTGACTTGCACCTGGTGCAAGTTAGACAAATAACTAGGTTGCACTTAGTAATATTGGGTTGCACCAGTGCAAGTAACAAAGCACTAAATGGAGCCCTGGAGACAAACGTGAAAATGAGAGGTGAGTGAGAGGGTTGATGCCCAGCCTCCCTACCTGGACATTTCCGCACTGTTGTATGGTCCAATGACGTTGTCTGCTTTGTCCAACCATTCCAAGTTTGCATTTTGGTCATCTGCTAACCCGTCTGCCTGACAGTATAATACTAATCCTTTCGTGTTTGTTTCTCGTCTTATACTCGGAACATCTGGGTTAAGCTTAATTTCCTGGGCATCTGCAACAAACAAGGAAAGATATATACAAGGATGAAACACAGTAGAATAAAGGAGAGAAATAGTCACAGCAGTCAACTATATGACATTTATGACATGCCCTGTAAGCAGGTCAGCTATATGACGTTTATAACATTCCCTGTAATCAGGTCAGCTATATGTTTATAACATGCCCTGTAATCAGGTCAGCTATATGATGTTTATAACATGCCCTGTAATCAGGTCAGCTATATGACATCTATAGCATGCCCTGTAACCAGGTCAGCTATATGATGTTTATAACATGCCCTGTAACCAGGTCAACTATATGACATCTATAGCATGCCCTGTAACCAGGTCAGCTATATGACGTTTAAAACATGCCCTGTAACCAGGTCAACTATATGACATTTATAGCATCCCCTGTAATCAGGTCAGCCATATGACATGTATAATGTGCCCTGTAACCAGGTCATCTATAGGATGTTTATAGCATGCCCTGTAACCAGGTCAGCTATATGACATTTATAACATGCCCTGTAACTATTTGAAAAAAATATTTTGTGCAAAATTTTCAGTTCTTTTTTCTTAAATTCCAATATTACAACCTTGCAATCTCTTCATTTCCATTGTTTCTGTTATTAGTGAAACACAAGTTCCACGACAAACTGTTACTTATAAGCATATCTACATGACTAGCATGAATAGGACAAAATCCCACGTCCAAGTTACAGCTCTTCTACAGACTTGGCATCGACCACTAAGCAGGTCTAGACACATGAGCAATAATCCATCCAAGACACAAACCCCCTACAAAAGAGATAAAAACACTTTGATCATGTCAACCCAGTAATGTACTTCCCAAACCCCCTGACAGTAGAGCCATTCACAGTGCAGGAATAACCCAGGAATACGGACCCAACAAGCTCGTGATTGACAACTGCAGTATTAGATTGGCCTTGAAGCTTTGATCCACAATCATACGTTTGGACACTATGTACTTAACTTGATTATCCTGGCCAATATTCATTAAAAAGAATGACAGTGTAGACTACGAGCCCTTCCAGCCGTCACAAGACACTCCAACTAATTACCTAATGGTTTTTCATGATCTCACAGCTGCTGTGAGAGGCTGCTTCATATAGCAACACTAATGGATGTTTGGGGAGTGACTTTTGATGCCATGCTGCTCGGCCTAGAACTGCTTAATACTAGACACCAGAAAAATACTTGAATTCCCTGGCGGTCAGGAATATCCTGTAGGTGTCAGCACAGGTCAACAAGGTGGCCAGAATAGCTTCTTGATGTGGATAGCTAATCGATTCCTTATGACCACTGCCGTTAAGACTGCACAGCAATTAGCAATCCTTACAATATATACTGGACAAAATAAGTTAGGGATATTGGTATTTTTATGATTGATATTTTATCAGTGTATCAATGAATAAATAGATAATTATTCGAAATTTCAAAATTTACCTAAATATATTTGTCCAGTATATAATGGTAAGGATACACAGTATTAGCAGTAGGTTGGTTTACTGAGGTCCATTCTTTCCATGATACATATCACAATATAACGCTTGATTTATTGACGATTTTAAATGATCAATTTTATTATGTGTTTAGTGTATGAGTGAGTATGGTTTTACACCACTTTAAGCAATATTGCTGCTATATCACGGCAAGGGACACCAGAAATGGGCTTCACATATTATACCCATGTGGGGAAATCGAACCTGGGTCTTCAGCATGACAAGCCTGTAATTCAAAATGCAAGTTTGCACAGATAAAGAAGTTAATTCCCACATAAATCAGAGCGATTGGGCGAACCACTAGTGCTACCCCACCACCATCAACTTTCTGTGCAGACTCTTTCAGGTGTCACAACCCTTTCCCTGTTGGCCACATGAATACGTGCAAACACCTGTAATTGAACACAAAGTACTGTGACTATGTGTTCCAAGCTTTGGGTACCTCGTTAGATAAGAAGTTAGTGGCTGCATTGTATACTCCCCAGGGAGTTGAGATTGATAATAATGTGCCGTTGAGATTGACATCAATGATCGAGGGCAAAATACCAGTGAGCATGCACTAGTTGCCTGGATATCCTATAATAATAATAAAATCAATCCTGTGCATGAGCACTCCTACACTTATGGTTAAGTCATTCCCACCAACATCTTGTTTGGTTCTATTTATGAACTGTAATTCTTGCAATAATGTTTCAGATTGCTTGCGAATTCAAAATTTGAAATCATACAGTATATCATGATACAGATTTCAATATACCTGAATATTCTGATATACTTTGAACATCCAATACCATCCATTCGGGATTCTATGAGAGTGTAACAACTTCACTCTGGGTACTGTAGTAACACGTTGTCCATGAAATATTTTAAAACATAACTCATTTCTCTCCTCTAAAACGTATTATTTTTTACAGCTGCAGTTCTTTAAATTTTAACACATTTTCAACAGTAAATGTGAAGACAAGCAGTCTTTAATCAACAGACTGAAAAGACAATTAATCCCAACACCTTCATGACAAATTTCTTTTCACAATTATAGCTGATAACATTATTTAATAAACATCACACATTCACTTTAACATAACAACCAAAATACCAAGAAAATCAAAATAGATTCCTACACAAAATCATAGCTCCAAATATTCAAAAGTTCAACCAATTTGACTTAAAGCTTGGCAATTTTGCTAATCCTCCCAACAAGGGAAAATCAGTCCAAGGTTTCAATGATTTACTACTACAGGGTAATTGTTGTTATTCCCCGCCCTTCTCCCCTGGGCAGTGCGGGTAATAGCTCCCAGCTGGGATATGCGAGACGTTATTCATTACACAATGCACAGCCACCAAAGCCATCTGCTGCCTCTCCTGTGTACATGTTAGCCATGGTCCAGGACAGATCTGGCCAGCATCCAAACAATATTGGGTTTTATACCCCGCCACTTGACTTCTGAACATGAAACATGTACAAATGTTGACAACTCATTATTACCAATCTTCATGAACTAACTTCTGATAATAGCCAGTTTATGAGACTTACACAATCTTTAAATTCATACATTCAACTTAACTGCCTGAGTTTGGTTTTACGCCGTTTTTAGCAATATTCCAGCAACATCACGGGGGGACACCAGAAATGGGCTTCACACATTGTGCCCATGTGGGGATTCGAACCCGGGTCTTCGGCATGACCGGGTCTTGGCTACCCCACCGCCCCCATTCGAATGATGAACGCTTTAACCATTAGGCTACCCCACCGCCCCCATTCAACTTAAGAATGATGAAGGGCATCCATTTGTGGAAACATCGAGGTGACTAATGACTCTAAGGTTTACTTTCAGTTTGATTTATTGTTAGTTTATCACTTACAGCAGTATTTCATTGTTCGTCTAATTTATTGTTAGTTTATCACTTACAGCAGTATTTCATTGTTCGTCTAATTTATTGTAATTCAAGAATGAGCTCAATAGACTGTTACCAAAGTGAGGAATCAAACCCTATTCTTTGGCAAACCTTGCACTTTAACCCCGGCCCCTCCAGAGTCCCTTGACCCTGGGTTTTACATAGCTCTTCGAAAATGGGAGTCCTGGGGACTCAGGGCATATGTATTCTGAGAGTCCATTTCCAAAATTGGGAGTCAATCATCATGAAATCAATGATCATGGATGCTTCCCATTTGATAATCATTAGGTTATAATATGTGTTACTTTCAATGTCATTGGGATAATGATAGTAAACAGAATGCTTATATTTTAATATGGGATATCGATACAAACTTATAAAGTTCTTTCACAGAAAAAAATTATATTGCGTCCACAAGGATGCACAGGATTTTAGATTGGGGGTACTTCATCAAAGTTCTGCATCCAATACGCAGGAATCACGAGTCCCGTAAAACCCTGCTTGACCAACTAAAACAGTCAGTACAAACATACATATTTCCTTCCACTGGAAACTAATTACTATCCATAAAATATATTCAATATCAGAGATAACGGATGGTAGAGTTGTGATATCAGCGATAACGTATCAATATGCTATCTCCCTGTCTACTGCTCATCACCCGTTGATGTCTCACCACCCACATGTAACACTCCATCATACTTGCTATCTATTCATTAATGTATACTAGGTGAATTAAAGATAACCAAAGAAAGGGTTCGGAGTTTCTTCAGCTTTCAGTGCCTGCCGTTTCTCTTCAATTAATGATAGAACTGTAATTTTTTCAAAGGGTGCCATTGGCGCCAGACAGGTTATTTAGGTTTGTCTTCTGATGATCCAATTAAACTTTAAACATCACAACAGTTATGTCATTGCAATTTAATGTTTAATAAATCAGTTAACATATTGTAAGCCTGTAAACTTGAGATCTGGATTTCCTGAACACTATCAAGACAGCAAGAATAGTTCAGCTTCCTTTATCCTGGGCCCGATTTCTCAAAAGAAGCTTAAGTTTTTGCTCAAATTTTAAACTGAGTTTGACAATTTGAAACAGCTGAATTTTTAACTCAACTGCATTTTTAAAATAAAAAAAACCCAAACAACTTAAGTAATATCCACCAAAAACAAATCGTCTACTATGTTTGAGTTTAATATTCATTTCAGTTTATTCTGGGAAATGCATTTTCCTGCGTTTTCTCAAATTTGAGTCAAAACTCAGACTTAAGTTTGTTTCGAGAAATTGGGGCCTGGACCCATAAACTAACCCACAAACTACACATTTAAAATGGCCCTACCCATGATAAACTGTGATTGAGTGAACAGTTTCATGGGATGCAAAAATAGGTCTTGAATAATTTAGTTTGAATAAGTCAAATTTATGGTATTTACCATAAAATGAATGATGGTGATTATTATTTTTATAATTTTAGTTGTGCCACCAGGCAACATTGAATATATTTCACCCGCAGGAGGCACCGTGACCCAAATTAAGCACTATTTGGAATCCTGAATCGCTTTTCCTTACATCAGAGGTAGAAATATGTTTGTAATAC